GCACGCAGCTACAGCCCATACTGTACAACAAAACCACAAGGTTTCGTTGTACAAGCCAGAGGAGTAGAAGAGGAATATGAAACTCACTAGAGTGAAACGCGCTGCCTTGCCAAGTTGTGCGATTTTGTGCTGAAAGCCCTAAAAAGAAAAGGAGACGATGTATTTGGACAAAGACATGGCTGAGCAAAGGTGGCTACTACGGTCTGTCAGTTTGACAGAAAGAACTAAATTTCACTCATTGCACCCCGCCATGCTGCTATGTTTCATCTGAGATCAATCAGTGGGCAATCCTTGTTTTCCCACTGAGCGATTTGCCCACGACCACCTTACGACGGCCGACTGAATTTCAGACATTTTTGATTTTCTCCCGACCTCACGATTCCTGATGGGGAGGTGGTCGTTAGAGGCTGATCGCCCCTCGTCACCCCCTGTACACTACACAATGCAAGATCAGGCTGAAATTCAGGCCGATCGAAAAATACTCCAAAAAGGCCACTCCGCTGCTCCTCTCCCAAATTGTAGCTGACCACAAACAGTGCCGCAGACAGGAGGCCGGCTTGTTTTGGTTTTATGACCGAAATTGCGGAAAACAACTCGTGAAGTTTGACCCGCTAGAAGAGCGAGGTGCGCGAGAACGCTGGGACCCTTTTCCCACCTGGATCTCCGCTCTTTTTGGCCCTCATGTCCCTCCGTCGTCGGACTAAACTCGCCCCCACTTCCTCGGCCGCATCTAGACCCACAGCGTGTAGCACAGACCACGCTTCAATAAATCAAAAATGTCTGCGTCAAGCTCACTGCAACACTGCTGTAAGAGTATAACCAGGAAGCGAGGTAGGGGGGCAAAATAGGTTTAGCGCCACCGCAGCACGGGAGGAGAATTACGCCCAGGAGCAAATGGATAAAAATAGACCGGAGGAAAAAAAAAACATGAATCGATTCTCTTGCGGACGTATCGACGCATCGGATCGTCGGCTGTTGGATCGATGCATCGATACAAAACGATTATTATTTTTCCTCCTAACAGTGTATGCCGGGCTTTAGTTGCTGCTCGTGTTTATTAATGAGTGTTTACAAACACAAAAGGGGGTAGCCATGACAACCTGCAGACTCCTCCCCCTTTCTCTCTGCTATCCTGCAGCTTTGTGTCAGAAGCTCCTCCCCCTTCAGGGGTTTTTATGACCTCTTTAGCTTGATGTCTTTTAAGTGGAGAAATCAAACAGCAATATACCTTGATTGGACAGTTTTAGTTTCTCTGCAGGTTTTCTGTAGACTTTCTGTATTTATAACAAAGGTAAAACTGGAACGGCACTACAGACTTTTAACATGTTGTATCACATGATGTATATATGTTGTTTTTGTTTGGTTAATTTAAGCTTTGCTGTTTTCAGAAATATGCATTTTGTTTATTCATTCATTTTCATCTTGGTTAAGGTTTTTTTTTATTGTGTAGCAGAGATATCTGGTCTGATTAGGGGGGGTCAAAGATGCTTAAAACCAAACAACTCTCAGAGATGTAAAAGTTTGTGGAAGCATTTTAGTTTCCATTCTGTTCAGAATAAACTATTGGCAATCTCCTGTCCCGTCCTTTTTCGTTTCCTTCCAGACAGACTCCATCAGCTCCTCGGTGGAGATTGAAGCTGTGAAAAACGTCACATTCATCTGTAAATTCAGTCACATAATTCATCCCCTCTGCAGAATTTTGTTCTGGTGGAGTTTTCTTTTGCCTTATGTCTGCTTTATTGAAACACCTAAAAGTTTTACTTTATTTTGAAAATCCAGCAATTCTAAATAAATACAAGCAGTATTTTTCTGATAGAGAAAAGCTGCCTATGTGTTTCTTTAGTCATACCAGCCAATCAAAGCCCTACTTTCACAGTCTGGTAGGAAGTGCCTTGCTCAGCAGCATATCAGTTTGGAGGGAGGATGATTCTTCCTGATGATCAGTTAATGTTGAATTAAAGGAAAGGTCCGATCAGTAAGAAATAATCAATGGATTGTTATTTATACCTAAAACTAATAGCGGCCATCTTTGCCCAAATATAGTAGCCCATCCCTCCTGCGATCCTCTGGCAGTGACGTCATGGTGCGGTAAGCCTAGCGCCATTCTCCCCGCTTTACAAGCTAAATCAATGGGAACTACTAGACACATCTGCAATCAACAACAATTATTGAAGATTTCCAGAGGACTTCACCATTAAAATTCACCAGAGCTATAGTGAAACTGACAATGCCCACGTGCATGGCAGCTGGATGCTGGAATACATCGGGTAAAAGTGGAAAAAAGAGTTATTCCACCTTTCTGATTCCTGATCCTCCACGGACGGGTTGGTCGTTGGATCGCCAACTTGAAGAGGGAGGATTTGCCATCGAACTTCTGGCCAGAGAAAAAACCCGTAATATGTAGCCAACATTTGGAAGAAGAATGTTTTCAAGATGACTTGGATAATAGCGCGTTGTGACAAACACCAGATACAGCACTGGGACTTGATCAACAGCCGATACCGCACCGTGACGTCACTAACCAGTAGGTGGCAGTAGTGTTCTTTGACAAACATGGATGCCTCCAGTAAAGCACATTCACATGAAAATTACTCTGAATTAAAAACACTGATCATTTATTGAACAGGATGGAATCATTTCAGATTTAAAGAACTTTCAGAAGTTTGAAATCTGAATGTGAGCGACTTTTCCTTTAAAATGATGGAAAAGGTCATGGTAGTTAAAGTGAAGGAAAGCTAGCCGTCCACATTGCAGCGTCACCCCTCAAAGGTTCCAGAAGGAAAGGGAGACGAGGTAAGGGATCTGGAAATGACTCTGGGACTCCTGGTTCCTTTTTCACTCGGAATAAGAACCAGCATAGCTTGGAATTTTGGGTTTCAGAAAGTAGGCCTGGGCAATTTATTGCATTTGCAATATAATCGCAATTTTGAAAACCAAATTTGGTCAAGTTACATTTAACAAGGCTAAGAGACAAATTTTTATTCCGCTCCAGCACTTTATGAGGCGGTCATATGATTTAAGGCAATTTGCTGCCACAAAAAAGATAATCTTTCTAGCTAGCTCTCCAATCTCTGCATGCAAGTAGAAGTTAGCCATTTTCAAATCAAAGATTACAATAAATCTCTGCAACAACGGACTTTAGACAAAACTGAAACCCTGGAGTGAAACATTGACATGCTTTTGATTAGTGCAATAAAAAAATGGAAATACAATCGCAAATGCAATATTGGTTGAAAATAATTGCAATTAAAATGTTTCCGACTAAAATAATAATAATAATAATACATTTTATTTGTATTGCACTTTACATTTAAAAAAAATCTCAAAGTGCTACAAAATTCATAGTTAAAACAAAACCGTATAATAAAAACGGTATACATAGTTAAAATGAGACATTACAGTAAAATAACATACGTAGTAAAAACAAAACAGTAAAATAACCATAAAACCACACAGATAAAATACTAACTAATGTTCATAGGCTTTTTTAAATAAAAATGTCTTGAGGCCTTTCTTGAACGCCTCCACACTCTGTGGGACCCTAAGGGACTCTGGGAGGCCATTCCAGAGTTGTGGGGCAACTGCCTGGAAGGCCCTATCTCCCATTGTGCAGAGCTTGACTCTTGGCTGGTGCAGTAGGTGGGTGGAGGTGGTGGAGCGGAGGGTTCTGGAGGCGGTGTGAGGTGTGAGGAGTTCCTTGAGGTAAGCCGGGGCAGTTCCATGTATGCACTGGTGAGTGAGGAGGCAAAGTTTGTAATCTATTCTGTGTTGGATGGGCAGCCAATGAAGGGACCTGAGGACTGGAGTGATGTGTTCGTGTTTGCGCCTCCTCGTCAGGACCCTGGGCAGCACAGTTCTGGATGTGCTGCAGCTTTTGTAGACTTTTGCCAGGGACCCCGACGAGGAGGGCATTACAGTAGTCCAATCTGGAGGAGACAAAGGCATGGATTAGCTTTTCTGCGTCGGGTTGGGAAAGGGAGGGGCGGAGTTTGGCGATGTTTCTGAGGTGGAGGAAAGAGACCTTGCAGAGGTGACGTATGTGGGAGTCAAACGTGAGATGTGGATCCAATTTGACACCAAGGTTTGTGACAGATGAGGACAGAGGGATGTTTTGACCGAAGATAGGGATACTGTTTAGGGAGAAGGACTTGGTTTGGTGTGGGGTGCCAATGAGAATGGCTTCTGTTTTGCTGCTGTTGAGCTGTAGAAAGTTTTCAGCCATCCATGTCTTTATCTCCTCCAGGCAGCAGTGAAAAGCAGATGGCAGAACTGTGGGAGAAGTCGAGTCCATTTTTATGTACAACTGGGTGTCATCTGCATAACAATGAAAAGATACCTTGTGTTTTTTGATTATCTGACCGAGTGGGAGCATGTAGATGGTGAAAAGGGTCGGCCCAAGGACCGACCCTTGAGGCACTCCGCAGCTGACTGTATCGGGTGATGAATTGGACTGTCCTATGGCAACAAATTCGGACCTTCCCGTGATATATGACTGGAACCAGTTGAGTGTGGTTCCAGAGAGTCCAACTGTGGTCTGAAGACGATGGAGTAGGATGGTGTGGTCAACGGTATCAAAGGCAGATGATAAGTCCAGTAAGAGGAGGAGTGATGGTGAGCCCTGGTCCGCAGTCATGAGTAGGTCATTCATGACGCGGACCAGGGCTGTCTCTGTGCTGTGTGCTGATGAGAAAATAGACCTGGGCTCCATCTCAGTCGGAGCTACGCTGCCCCCTGCTGGAAATCATCCCCAATTGACTTTCAATTAACGCTAAACGCCACCACCTCTAAGGCGGGATTTTGTGTTGGATCGGACAGAGCGGCAAAGCATTTGGCTCTACCAGTGTTCAGATGTAACATTGTGGCATGGAGGAATATATCAACCATTACATGTTTTTACATCTTAATAGTTGGGCTTTGGTGTTGAACCCAAATGGATCGGCTGTGCGAGACTTTTGGTCCGATTTAAATCTTCTAACCTGTAGGTTTTGGGTTTTGAACAGGACTGAAAGGAGTGGAGCCAGTAAAGGAAGGAAGATCACCTGAGCAGAAAACAGGTAAAGGAGCAGTATATTTATTTAAACCAGTATATTTATATAAATGCCAACAACAAAAATCTTTATAAAAACACTTTAAAACATTTCTTCATGTCCAGGTTTAGTTTTTGTCCATAAATCTTACCCTTGTGAGGTTTTATTAAGGTAAATCTGTGTTTTTAATGGTCCAATATTGGGTCACTAACCTAGAAAAATAATCTACCAGTTTAATAATGGAGAAGCTTTATTTTTTATATATATATATATATATATATATATATATATATATATATATATATATATATATATTTATATATACATAAATATTTAAGAATGTTTATTTAAGAGCAACTATACGAGTGAACAAACATCTAGAAAAATCAGACTATATTCTATTATTTTCCGTGTGAATCCCAGATTGTTCATTTTTCTTTACCTTTTCTACAAAGTGCTTTAAATGAGGCCTAGCTGTCGGAGACGCGTTTGAAGTCCGTCTGTCCAGACTGTGTCCACATCAAATCACTCCGGTCACTTTAAAAAGAATGCAGGGAAAACAAAGCAGTGCATTAGCCGCCCGACAGGCTGTCTATGACGGAGTATTAGAGCCAGGCTAGAGAATTATTTATTTTTTTATTTTGAGAATAAAGTTGGAATATCACGAGAATAAATTCATTACAAGTCAGAATTTTGAGAAAAAAATCAGAATTTTAAGATTTAAGTCAGAATTCTGACTTTTTTCCTATATTTAACAGATTTTTTTGTGGTCCTGTGAGGGAGCAAACTTAAAAAAGGACAAAAGGTGTTCAAAATTTAAAAAAGTACTTTCATTTAATTGTGTAAAAATGGTTAACAAAGGCTCTAAAGCAATACAAAATAACTTAAATACAAAATAACATGAACTTAACTGAGGTCAACTGAGGATCCAACTCCAACAAAAAACTGACCTGCAAACAAAGAACTAACGGCTGCTTAAAAAGGGATGTAGTAACCCAAGTCTACCACAAGAGGGAGACACAACATAACAAAAGAACCAATAAATACAAAATGAACCATTCTATGAAACAAATAAAGCAAAACTAAATTTTATTTAGCAGAAACAATAATTGAGTATTTAAGTGACAAACTAATTAAAAACTTCTTGAAACAAGTCTCCCCCGTCAGTCTTTCAAAAATGGTACGCTCCAGATTTCCTTCTCCAGCTGGTTTGCATCAGCAGCACCTCAAACAAAAGAACAAGTGTAAATAAACCAGACAGACATTAACTAAAGTGTGCACCCATTAGAAAATACCTGTCTAAAATAACCAACTTAAACATAAATTGTAATATAATATAAAGCAAGAAAAGAAAATACTAACACGATGTGGTGGGAAGATCATCCACCACAGGCCCTAATCCTGTTCCGTATAACTGAACCGCGCTGAGCCCTACAGTTGAGCTAGTACTAGTTTAGCGCGGTTTGGTTGTGTCGTGGTCCAGCAAGCGTGCCGTCTATGCTCAACAGTTATCTCGGTTACCGTGCTCGGACCGTCCTCGGTACGTGTAGCAGCCTGAATTTAAGGTAGCAGAGACCGCATGGCGGCCTGCTACAAGAACGCCGACCTTCACCCCTAAGGTCCATATATAGGATGTAGAAATAATTTCTAAGTTCTTACATCCCCAGATGTACCAGTTTACCCACCTTGCTCTTTTTTTAGGCTCCGCCTCTAAGACTGATTGGGCTGAGTCTCAGTCTCCAGGCTTATCACAATATTACACTTTGTTCTTAGCGGAAGGACGCCGCTGAATGAAGATTATAACTGTTTATCCAGACAGAGGAACTGTCATAATTAGATAAACTTTTGTGGAAAACATCAGTTCTAACATGCAACAGGCAGCTAATATTAAGATGTTATAAACTGACACATCTTCAATGATAATTATCCCAACAAAACCTATTAAAGTGAAATAAAACTTTTTTCTTTTAGTGGGCCTAATCCTCTTCCATAGATCAGAGCTGCTGCCTGTTCCTTCTACATAACAATCCTGCTTTATTTAACCTTTGGAGTTTATCTTCTTGTTATTTATTTTTCAAATGCAGAATGTCTGCAGCAGCAATGACAGCTTGATAGGTTGACGCTCCGATGTCCAGCCGCTAAAGTTCAATTTACTGAACTCCAGTGTTGAACGCTCGGATGCTTCGCTAAACCTCTCGACGCTGTCAGCCATAGACCTGCCGTTTAAATCGGACGCAGAAAACGCGCCCGGTGTGAACGCTGCATTAGGGTCAGGAAGGTTTGCAACTGGTATAAAAATCAGTTTATTTATATAGTGCCATTCACAACATGGCAGCTCAAGGCACTTTCCAGTTCAACCAGATCATAGTCTGGAAAACAGTCATTACTCAGAAAGCCCCAGAATCAGAACCAGTTAAACCGTCCAGTATGACCTGCTGCTGGGTCTCACTTGGTTTCCTCCTGCTCTAAGACACCAGAGAGCCAGAGGTGGAAACGTTTAACCAAAAAGCTGCGGAACCGGTCCAGCAGGTGACCCCTGAGAGAGCTTCAGAACCGGTCCAGGAGGAGGAAACATCAGGTGAGTCCATCTTTCTTCCCTGCTAGGATTAAACCTGAAAGCAGTTTCAGAACCAGAACCATTCCGATGTCCTGATCCGTTCCCACGCCTTTCACAATGTCTGAACACACCCCACACCTGCTTCCTGTGACACGTTGGCATGACGACGGTAATGTTGTGTGTCTGCCGCAGTCTCCGCCTCTCAGGACGTGGAGTCTGAAATCCAAGGTTGGTTCTGAGCGGCTGCTGCATGAACGCCAAGCTCTGCCTGCAGACACTCAGCTGGCTGCTTGTTGGTAGATTATGGAGGATTTTTCCTTTCCAAAAAAACCAGGAGCACATTTTGACTGCAAATATGATCTAAAAATGTCTTAAATTAGGCAAATTTACTCCTAATTTGAGCAGGTAAATGTGATGATCTGAGTATTTTTACTCTTAAAATAAGATAATTAGATAATATGCACTTGAAATAAGAAGATGCGATAACTTTTTCTTAATTTGAATGTAAAGTCTCTCGTTCCATTGGCAAAGCGTCTCTCTTAAATCCTCAAAAAGATAAAATGCACTTATTTTAAGAAAAAAATGGCTTATTGAGATTTAAATTTTTTGCAGTGAGGGGTTTAAGAGTCCGCTCAAAGTCTGAGGGATGTTCAAAGTTTAAGGCCTAAAGTGTCCTTTAAAATTAGCAGCAGATAAATGTGAATAAACGTTACCTGCACTCAAAACATTGAAGTTTTAAATGAATAATGACTCAGGAATTCATTAAACTATGATGAGGCTAGAAGACCCGTTAGCTTAGCTAGCCCCAGGGGTTCTGGTCAGAATGGGTCGAGCTGAAACAAAGAAAGGGTTAGCTCACGATGTAGCCTTTATAACGTGTTCAGCATGAGGTAGCTGAAGCTAGCTAGCCAGTTCAATGTAGCAGTTAGCTTTAGCAGCGCGTGTCTGCATTAGCATTCAGGTAAAATATTAATAATATAATAATAATATAAGCATCAGAAGTTGAATCAGAGCTTATTTCCTATAAAAAACCAACATGGCTGTCTATTCTACTTCGTTCACCCAAGCTGAGCACTCGTTAAGCATCAGGAGGAAGTTACTGTTTTGGTTCGGTGGAGTGAAGGCCTTCGGCTCGGCTTCAGTTTTCCGTAGGCCCCGTCTTCAGTCCATTTTGGATCAATCCGATGCAACAATAAGCGGCAACTTTGCAAAAAGGAGTTCATTTTATAGCTCGCTGTAGCCGAGACGTCTCTCTTTTAGCTACCGAGGTTAGCTTGTAGCCGTAGCCTCCAGCAACTCCTGGGTGCTGCTCTGTTTCCGTCTCAGCCAGTCACGATCTGCCGGCTTCTAGCGGCTCCTTCGGCCAACAGCGATTGGGGCCGCGTTGTTCAGCAGGTAGATTAAAGTTAGCAGAGCTGGATTAACTCTCTGCTGCAGCAGGATTCAGGGAACACTGCGTTCAGCTCCTTCTGAATCCCAGGAAAAAGACTGTCTGACTCGGTCCATTGAGCGCAGACCTCTCTGGAGGGATTTGGTTGCTACTTTAGCGAACCCGTTAGCATTTAGCCTTTGGTAGCCGAGGTGAGTACCCACAAATTAGGAAGTTTACCCTTTTTAAAACCCCTGCCAGAGGGGCGTGTCTTCAGAGGGAGGAAGTTCCGGTAACATTAGCGACACATAAACAGCACAAGTCTATTTATTTAACAAACCAAATATTTAGTTTAGAGCTAAATATTTATTTAAATAATTAGTTTAGAGCTAAATATTTATTTAAATATTTAGTTTGGAGCTAAATATTTAACAAATTAAATATTTAGTTTGGAGGTAAATATTTAACAAATTAAATAATTAATTTGGAGCTAAATATTTATTTATAACAGGCTAGATAACCATATTTATTTCTCCTAATTTCTGCCTGCCTACCTTTACAGGCGGCGCCCTGTAGACGTCCTGAATGTGAGCGTTAGTAGTTTTTCATCCTGCTGTCAGACTGAAAATGTTTGCTCCTGGTTTTTCTCGTCCTCCTCAGTAGATCAGCTTTGCAGGCTGTAAACTTTAGAGCTGTCTGCATACATGTGGTAGATCATGGCCTCAGTGATGCTCCAGCTTTGATCTGCAGACCTCATGCTTTCCTCTCCTTCCTGCACTCTGTTTGGCGTTTACTAACAATCACCATCTTCTTCCTTCATTTCAGCTGAAAGCCTGCTTCCATAACGCTGCTTTGTTTTGCTCTAATAAGCCGTTTCTTGGGGGCAACGCGTCCTGCTCTCCTGCCGTCCCTCCAGTGATCCAGGGTTTCTGTAGATCTTCTGGTTCTGAAAGTCTTCATTGCATGGAACAAACAGGCCGTCCTCAGCCGACGGATGAACCAGAGGGCGGGTGATAACCAGCTGTGTTCATCTGTGCTGTTTCTCTCCAGCTGCCGTTCCTCTCCCTCCGTTTGTGGACAGCGCCTTCGTTCCAGGTCAGTTTATCCGGTTAGTCACAGTTCCTCCATGTTTCTGGCAGAGAAGGAGGAACCTGGAGGACAGGATGGAGGGAACTTAACCCTTTGATGCCTGTTGTTGCTAATAAGCAACAAACCGCTCGTATTACACTGCAACAAATGTAAATCAGAGTCAATTTTTCCTAAAATAAGAGCAGGTGAATAAAGTGAGACACGTTGCCATCAGAACAAGACGATGTACATTTAAAATAAGAAAAAAAACAACTGGAGTCTCTTATTTCCAGTGTATAATATCTAATTATCTTATTTTAAGGGAAAAGTACTCCTTCTGTTAGGTGCTATGGTTATTCTGGCCACTAGGGAGCACTGTTGGACTGCAATCAGAATCTCACAATTCTGACTTTAATCTCTGAATCCTGACTTTTTTTCTGCATGCTATATGAAGTTTATTTTGAAATTGTGAGATGCGCTTTTGGAAGTTGTTGGTAGAACTCAGTTAGTTGGTAGAACCCATTTAGTTGACCTCTGGGGAACGTCTTTAGACACAAACTTTCTCCTTACTCGTAATCAGCAATAGAAACTTTCGCTCAGATCAATCAGACGTGTTTATTAACTGAACGGTTCTCTGCTGTTTTCCTGTCAGACGATCCCAGAGAAGATGGACACCCTTACGGTCAGTACCAGAACCAGAACCACCAGTCCTCTGGTTCTGAGACGGGACCGCTTTGTCATTTAAGTCTTCTGCTGTTGTCTGTTTTCTCCAGAGGAGGAGACCAACACCATCGACACCACAGGAGGTGAGACCTTCCCCCCCAGCTTAGAACCAGTTCAGAACCCGCCTGCTGAAAGGGAACCTGTAGTCGGATTGTTCTGGTTCGTTCAGAAACCTGCTGATCTTCTCTGTTTCCTGCTGCAGTTTTGGTGGAAGAAGCTCCTCCAGAGGAGACCAGAGGTTGGTCCCTTTTTTATCGTAATTTTGTCCTTTATGTCAGGCCTCGGTTCACGGGAACGACAGTACGGACTCGTGTTCTCGCCAAGTCCGTTCTTGACTAGAAACCAGTAAAGTCTGGACTCTGGGAGAACGGGAAGAAGCGTACTGATGACATCACCGCATTCAAAGCTCGTCTGGAGCCGCATTTCACCTCCTGTTATTAATAGTCTCTAGATAATAATAAATTATGACTTTTTTCATTTATTGGAGGAATAATAATGAACACAGTCAGATAAACACAAATTAAATGAACATTTTACCAAATAAAACAAAAAAATCGCCACCAGAACCAACGGTACTTCACACACGGCTATGCAGAGAGAGGGCTGCAGCAGCCAGGGCTAACATTAGCCCCGTCTGCAGCAGCCAGGGCTAACGTTAGCCCGTCTGCAGCAGCCAGGGCTAACGTTAGCCCGTCTGCAGCAGCCAGGGCTAACGTTAGCCCGTCTGCAGCAGCCAGGGCTAACGTTAGCCCGTCTGCAGCAGCCAGGGCTAACGTTAGCCCGTCTGCAGCAGCCAGGGCTAACGTTAGCCCGTCTGTAGCAGCCAGGGCTAACATTAGCCCGTCTGTAGCAGCCAGGGCTAACATTAGCCCGTCTGTAGCAGCCAGGGCTAGTTGCCACAGTCCTCACAACTTCGGAAAGTTTTTTTAAATTACGCATTAAATCATATTTAAAACCATTGTTTGCTTTAATAAATTATTTTGTATTTTTGTTTAAATTGAAAATAAGTTAGATATTTTCTAATCGATTTTTAGACAATATGAACAGATCATTTAAGCGAACATCTGGGGCTAGGATTTATTTATTTATTGAAGATAATAACTAAAGGAAGAAAAGCAAACTAAGAGTTAATTTGAATTCAGTTAAGTTGAGTGAAAACTGAGAGGAACAGGATTATGCAACTTGAAGCAAACATGAGATCAGAATTCGTCCCGTCGACCAAATCCTTTACTTTCCCCTGAAGCCGATCCACTTCTCTAGATTACTTTCACAATAAACTGCAAATTTCAGGTTTTGTTTTTTTTTTTTGACCCATTAGTTCTTCATGTTTTATCATTGTTTTGATTTCAATTTTACTTTAAATAATTCTGGTTTTAGATTATTTTTCCTTTTATTTCCATAACAGAGGCTCTTTTCTGTCAGTCAGGCTTCTCTTTATGCCCCTAAATGAAGGACGGGTCCAAAAAAATAAATAAAACCAGGAATAAAACAGAGAATCTGCAGTAATAATAAAATGTTAGATGAAACAATAAAGATTGTTTTTAATAAACTCTGCTGTCGTTCTGCAGCCGGATCGGGGCGATACGTGACCAGCTCCCAGGTCTCCCAGGAACCAGGTGGGAATAAATGACATTTCTGTTAAAATTATTCTGTTATTTGGGTTATAGGGCGGTTCTGTTCGCTGCATCATGTCGCTGTGAACCGAAATCTATCTGGTTTATAATGATGTTTGATTTAATCACAGAAGTGGAAGAAACGTCTAAAGCAGCTGCAGGATCAGAACCAGAACGGCAGCCAGCAGAACCAGAACGGAGTGTTAGAGCTGCAGAGGACGGTCAGGAGGCTGAGGGTAAGACCCCGGACTCCAGCTGGGAAGGCTGGTTAAAGGTTCTGCACAGATTATATAAGAGTAGACCCGACCTGATTTGGTGGCGCCATCTTGGGGAGGTCGACAGCTCCACTAGTGTAATGTGTTGAGCAGGAATCAGTTTTATTAAACCTTTAACTCACTGAATATTGAATTAAATTTAATGGGTTTTTTTTTGCTGAAAACAAAAATATATTTTAGTGCATTTAAATGTTCATAGTGGGATTAATAGTAATAGAATATTCTGACAGGATGGATGCATGTTGCAAAGCACAGCCACTCAGACATTTTATATGTTTTTCATATCTATATACACATTAATACAGGTATACACACAAATCTCTTTCTATATTTATATTATATATATATCTGCTGTATATAAGCTCTGATTACTTCACAAAGTTATCCCTACAGCCGTCTGTTCAAACAAAAACCCGCTGCAGTGCTGCGGCATCCTTCTGTTCTGGTTAAATCAGCTGGTTAGGGTAGCGACCTCCCCAAGATGGCGCCTGTAATTCCTGCGCCGCGACATTCAGTGTGGGCTCTGCTCTTATATGATCAGAACCCGCTCCGATGGTTAAACTGTGGACTTCCTGTCTGACAGGAAGAGCAGAGAAACAGGCTGAGGAGAAGGAAAAAGGTAAAACCTGATTAGAAACATCAAACCGCCTCCTCTGTTTTACCCTTTTCATCATTTCTCTGGTTCAGATTTTTTTTCTCCAGCGAAGAAGAAGAAACCTAAACTGTTCAACAAGTTGGATAAAAGCATCAAGTCAGAAATCGATGCAGCTGAGAAGCTTCGTAAGAAGGTAGAGGCGATCCCATCAGGAAAGGTTTCATCTTCCCTGCTGAGCTGAGCTGCTTCTCCTCCTCATCCTCAGGGGAAGCTGGAAGAAGCCCTGAAGGCCTTCGACTCCCTGGTCCAGCGGTACCCGCAGAGCCCCCGCGCTCGCTACGGGAAAGCCCAGGTACGTCCCAGAACCGCCAGCACGGCGGCCGACCCCTCCCTCACCCATAACCCCGTGTCCTTCGCAGACAGAGGACGACCTGGCGGAGAAGCTGCGCAGCAACGACCTGCTGCAGAGATCCATCAACACGTACGGAGAGGCGGCCGACATCCCCGACGTCACCTCAGACCTGCTGAGAGCGGCGCTGAAGAGGCGGGCCGAGAGGCAGCAGTTCCTGGGTAACGGCAGCCGGAACAGCTCTATTCACTCTATTTCTATAGCTCCAGATCATCCAGTCAGATTGATTCAAAGTTTTCTATCTAAGGAAAACCAGCTGATTGCATCGACTCATTGACTCTTCAGCAATCCCTCACACTAAGCATGCTTGTAGCGACAGTGGAGAGGAACAGGAAGAAACCTCAGAAAGAGAGCGGAACGTTAGAGATTGAACTAACAGATTCTGCAGAGTGGGAGAATAGAGATAGAATGAAGCAGAATGATGAAAAAGGGGTCCCTATGTCCTCCAGCAGTCTAAGCCTATAGCAGCAGAACTATAGAGATATTTTGGATGAGATATAATAACGTTAGAACCAAGGATGATGTGGGCAGGGAGGCTGGTCAGGAGGCAGGAGAAGCATCCAACCAGAGTTTAGATCACTCACAGGACCTGTAGGACTTTCACAATCAATCATTTAAAGTCTATTTCTATAGCACTTTAAAACAGCAGGAAGACCAAAGCGATTAACAGAAAGATAAAAACACTGAAAAAACAAAAGTCCAAAACATAAAACAATGTCTGCTAAGTATTAAAGGTCAGTTTGAGTCTTTGATCTGGACTTAAAAAGGGGCAGACCCCTGGTTTAGATCACAGTGGATTCATGGCCTAGTCAAAGTCCAGATGTAAATCTGTGAGCAGTCTCCTGTAAACTGGAGATAAACTAACAAACATTCGCTTCAGGAGAAACAGAACCTGAAACCTTCTGGAGGAAGTTCTGGGAACGACGAAGATTCCTGAACTGAAAGCCTAAATGATCCTAAATTAGTTCCCTGTGGGACTCCTGGTCCAGCAGAACCGTCGCCAATGAGGCGTAGTGATCAGATCAGGAGGAATGAAAACGTCTCGCTGGCGTTTGGGGGCGGAGCCTCGTCTCCAGAACCGAACCTTAAACTCATTCAGACAGGAGGACTGATCATCCTGCTTCCTGTTTTTCTCCTTCTGCTCTCAGGTCGGATGAGAGGCTCGCTGGCGACGCTGCAGAAGCTCGTGGACTTTTTTCCAGACGACTTCGCCCTCAGGAACGACCTGGGCGTCGCCCACCTGTTGCTTGGCGACAACAAGGGAGCTAAGAAGGTTTACGAAGAGGTGCGTTTGTACGCTGAGGTTTTGTTGTTGGACAAAAAGTATTTAACTGGTTAAATAAACGCAGATCGATGGATTTCACTCAGTCGGCGCTTTATTTTAATCTTTGCAAAGAGAGATCAGTTCATCCCGTACAGCGCGGTAATCAGCCCCGTTCTGCCTGAGCAGCGTTCATCCTTAGTTACAACAATGGAAAATAGTCTGAGTTAAAACAGTAAAAAGCATAAATCAATATATGAAATAAGAGAAATCATAATTTTCTGATCACAGTTTTGTTGGACTTTTTATCGCTGATTGGCTCCACGTCTTTTGCCCCGCCTCCTAGGTGCTGGCTGTCGCCCCTAGCAACGGGTTTGCCAAAGTCCACTATGGCTTCATCCTGAAGGCGGAGAACAAGATAGCAGAAAGCATCCCGTACCTGAGGGTGGGGAAACCTTTCTGACTGGTTACCATGTCTAGGTGGACCTTTTAATCCCCCCTCCCCTCCCTGTTTCTGCAGGAAGGTCTGGAGTCCGGTGAGCCGGGAACAGATGACGGACGCTTTTATTTCCACCTGGGAGACGCGCTGCAGAGGGTCGGAGACGACAGCGTGAGTAAAAGACGGACGTCGGAGAACGTCCGACTGACGCGGCGCAGGGCTTCCTTTATCTGCTAACCGCTAACGAACTGGGAGCAGATCCAGCCCCTAAGTTTAGCCGCTGGTCGGAGGTCGTCCTTCATCTAAGAAAGATGAAAAACAAACTGAAACATGTTTTTACTTTAAAGCCTAAAGAGAAACTGAGCGACGCTTTTAGGCTCAACTGATTGAAAATATCTCATGTTTTCCATTTAATCCGGATTCCTTAAATCACCTAAACTTAAAAAAGACAAAAAAATTCTTAAAATTTTTCCCATTTTTATGTCACATTTCTTTATTAATATTGACTGATTTCATTTGGAAGTTTGCTGTTAGCTCTTAGTTTTTATATTTGTCCACTAGATGGTGCTATAGGAGGCACCTATTTAAAGTTGGCTGTGTATCTTCCCACTTTAACCTGTTTTCCTTAAGGTTGCCATGGTAATGACGCATGCTAATGCTGCGTAAAGCTGGCAAGGCTTTTATTTTGAAGAAAACACCCGAGCTCTGTCAACTTGGAGCTGAAATAATGAATATTTTTAGCTGTTTTGGGGAAGAAAACAACTTTTGTCTGAAGGGAGAAACATGTTGGGATTCAGTTCTGCAGTGCTTTTATCTGGCCACCAGGTGGCAATGAAGGGTTAGTCTATTCAGTTTATTTCTATAGCTCCAATTCACATCATGTCATCTCAGGTCACTTTCCAGTTCACCAGATCATCCAGTCAGATTGATTCAAAGTTTTCTATCTAAGGAAAACCAGCTGATTGCATCGACTCATTGACTCTTCAGCAATCCCCCACACTAAGCATGCTTGTAGCGACAGTGGAGAGGAAAAACTCCCTTTGAACAGGAAGAAACCTCCAGCAGAACCAGGCTCAGTGTGAGCGGCCATCTGCTGAGGCCCACTGGGGTTCAAGGACACAGAAGCAGACATAGAAAAAGAAGCATAGATACAAAAGGCAACCAGCTCCACAGCAGCTGTTCACGTTCAGAGTCAGAAGCTGCTGAAGGAGTCGAGCCGGCAGCGGTTTGATGGAGCAAACAGCTGAAGGTCTGGTTCTGGTTCCGTCTTAGTGACGGCTCTGTGTCTGCAGGCGTACTACTGGTACGAACTGGGCCACAAACGAGGCCACTTTGCCTCGGTGTGGCAGAGGTCTCTGTACAACGTGGAGGGACTGAAGGCTCAGCCCTGGTGGACGCCTCAGGAGACCGGATACACGGACCTGGTGAAGGTACGAGTCACACGGCCACACTGACACGCCCTGCCTCCATCAGCAGAGGTTCTGACAGGGGGGGGGACGCTGTGTCCAGATGCTGGAGAGGAACTGGAGGACGATCCGGGACGAAGCTCTGGCCGTGATGGACCGAGGCAAAGGACGGTTCCTCCCCGAGGAGGAGAACCTGAGGGAGAAAGGAGAGTGGGGCCAGTACACGCTGTGGCAGCAAGGTGCTTCAGCTTCCTGGATCTCAGGTGGAACCAGGTGTTTTACTCCAGCTGGACTCACGTTCCTCCTTGTTTCCAGGGAAACGGGTTGGAAACGCCTGTCAGGGCGTCCCGAAGACCTGCGCCCTGATGGACAGGTTCCCCGAAGCTACCAGCTGCAAGAGAGGACAGGTAGGTAGCTGCCTGCAGGTCGGACTCACCTGACCCCCAAAACACCTGGATCAGCTGTTCTACAGGAGGTCTGGGGCCCAGTCAGGCATCGTTAACGTCCTCCTTAAAGGAATAAAAATTATTTAGATCTCAGTTGTTTTTGCAGTGCGATGAGCTGAAGGACGACCAACACTGTTCTCGATTTTATCGTCACTAAATCACCTGATTATTTTAAAATCTGTCCAATCGATCCGACCTTTAGGGCATCCGTCCTTCTACAGGTGCTGGTCATAAAATTAGAATATCATGAAAAAGTAGATTGATTTCAGTAATTCCATTTAAAAAGTGAAACTTGTATATTATATTCATACATTACATACAAACTCATATATTTCAGATGTTTATTTTGTTTAATTTTGATGATTACAAATGACAACAAATGAAAATCTCATATTCATCATATCAGAAAATTAGAATATTGTGAAAAGGTTCAAAATTGATGGCCCCTGGTGCCACACTCTAATCAGCTAATTAACTCAAACCACCTGCAAAAGCCTTTAAATGGTCTTTCAGTCTAGTTCTATAGGCTACACAATCATGGGGAAGACTGCTGACTTGACAGTTGTCCAAAAGACGACCATCGACACCTTGCACAAGGAGGGCAAGACACAAAAGGTCATCGCTAAAGAGGCTGGCTGTTCACAGAGCTCAGTGTCCAAGCACATTAATAGAGAGGCGAAGGGAAGGAAAAGATGTGGTCGAAAAAAGTGTACAAGCAAGAGAGATAACCGCACCCTGGAGAGGATTGTGAAACAAAACCCATTCAAAAATGTGGGGGAGATTCACAAAGAGTGGACTGCAGCTGGAGTGAGTGCTTCAAGAACCACCACACACAGACGTATGAAAGACATGGGTTTCTGCTGTCGCATTCCTTGTGTCAAGCCACTCTTGAACCACAGACAGCGTCAGAAGCGTCTTGCCTGGGCTAAAGAGAAACAGGACTGGACTGCTGGTGAGTGGTCCAAAGTCATGTTCTCTGATGAAAGTAAATTTTGCATTTCCTTTGGAAATCAAGGTCCCAGAGTCTGGAGGAAAAGAAGAGAGGCACTTCATCCACGTTGCTTGAAGTCCAGTGTAAAGTTTCCACAGTCAGTGATGGTTTGGGGTGCCATGTCATCTGCTGGTGTTGGTCCATTGTGTTTTCTGAGGTCCAGGGTCAACGCAGCCACATACCAGGAAGTTTTAGAGCACTTCATGCTTCCTGCAGCTGACCAACTTTTTGGAGATGCAGATTTCATTTTCCAACAGGACTTGGCACCTGCACACAGTGCCAAAGCTACCAGTACCTGGTTGAAGGACCATGGTATCCCTGTTCTTAATTGGCCAGCAAACTCTCCTGACCTTAACCCCATAGAAAATCTATGGGGTATTGTGAAGAAGAAGATGCAATACACCAGACCCAACAATTCAGAAGAGCTAAAAGCCACTATTAGAGCAACCTGGGCTATCATAACACCTGAGCAGTGCCACAGACTGATCGACTCCATGCCACGCCGCATTGCTGCAGTAATACAGGCCAAAGGAGGCCCAACTAAATACTGAGTGCTGTACATGCTCATACTTTTCATGTTCATACTTTTCAGTTGGCCAACATTTCTATAAATCCTTTGTTTTTATTGGTCTTCAGTAATATTCTAATTTTCTGATATGATGAATTTGAGATTTTCATTTGTTGTCATTTGTAATCATCAAAATTAAACAAAATAAACATCTGAAATATATGAGTTTGTATGTAATGTATGAATATAATATACAAGTTTCACTTTTTAAATGGAATTACTGAAATCAATCTACTTTTTCATGATATTCTAATTTTATGACCAGCACCTGTACATTGTAAAAAAAATTTAATCTTAATAATTAATTCTTTCTTAAAATAAGTGCATTTTTTCTTGAATTGAGGAGGAAAGTGAGACATTTTGCCAATGGAACAAGATAATTTATTTTTAAAATAAGAAAAAACAATTGCATTGTTTTATTTCAAGTGAATTTTATCTAATTATCTTATTTTAAGAGTAAAAACACTCATTCTATTGGCATACTATCTTATTTATCTACTCAAATCAATGGTAAATACATTTAATTTAAGAAATCTTTACTTATTTCTAGATTGTTTTTGCAGTGTATGGAGAGAAACTGGAGCCACACTGCAAAAACGATCTAGAAATGAGTCAACATTTCTTAAATTAAGTGTATTTACCATTATTAGAGTAGATAAATATAATAGTTTGCCAATGAAATAAATACTTTTATTCTTAAAATAAGATAATTAGATAATATGCACTTAAAAAAGGAAAATGCAATTTTTTTTTCTTATTTTAAATGTAAATCGTCTTGTTCCATTGGCATCTCTCTTGCCTCCTCAGTTCAGAATAAAATGCACTTATAATAAAAAGTGCAAATAAAAAAAAACCTGAGAAATCTTTTTGAAAGTGAGATTTTAAACCAAACGCTGCTCAGATCATCATTCCTCCAGCGAGGTTTAAACATTTAGAACAGTTAGAAACAACTAACTTAAACATAAAGAGAAGACTTTTCTATTTCCCACAGTCCCTGAAAGCAGCAGCACACTGGAAAAACGATCTAGAAACAAGTAAAAGTTTCTTTAATTAATTGTATTTACCTTTAATTTGAGCAGGTAAATGAGATAATATGCCAACAGAATGAGTGTTTTTACTCTTAAAATAAGATAGTTAGATAAAATTCACTTGAAATAAAACAATGCAATTGTTTTTTTCCTTTTTAAAATGTTGTAAATTATCTTGTTCCATTGGCAAAATGAGTCTTTTATCTCCTCAATCACGAACAAATGCATTAATTTTAAGAAAAAATAACTTAATATGTTTTTCAGTGCAGTCAGTTTTATTAGTTTCAGCTTTTTTTTTTTTTTTAAGTTTAAAAATCAAAGTTTACGGCTTAATTTCAGCCCCTTTGAAGCGTTTTTTTCAGTGTGTTTTCTGCGGTTCTGATGGGTCCAGATCAAGTTCTCCGTCATGCAGCCTGGAACCCACGTCTGGCCTCACACCGGACCCACCAACTGCAGGCTGAGGATGCACCTGGGCCTGGTCATCCCCACACCGGGCTGCCGGATCCGCTGCACCAACCAGACCAGGTGAGGCTCCGATCGCCCGCCCTTTGACCTTCACAGTAAAAGCACTTCCTGTTGCATCATCCTCCTCCTCTCTATCCCGGTCCCTCAGGGAGTGGGAGGAAGGCAAAGTCCTCATCTTCGACGACTCCTTCGAGCATGAGGTGTGGCAGGTGGCCGACAGCTACCGCCTGATCTTCATCGTGGACGTTTGGCACCCAGGGCTGACCCAGTACCAGCGGCAGACTCTGAGCCCCATTTAGGACGGGCCGGAGCGGTTCTGTGGACGGACCGGACCGCCGGAGAAGGAGCGACGGACTCAGACGTCACACACATGAATGTTTGGACTCTTCTACTACTGACTGGACTTAAACGCACCATCTGGGACGTCCTGAACCGCTTTAGGACCTGGTTCTGGTTCTGGTTCTGGTTCTCTTTCATGATGACGGTTCAGTTTTTGAATCTAAAACCCAAATCAGCTGTGAGTTAATGAATCACTACATCCTCCTCCGTCCGGCTGAATTAGATCGCAGTCGCCTTCATTTCATCAGCCGGATTTGGACCTTTGCACATTTACTTTCTAATAAAAGATGATTTATATTTATAAAAAACAATAAAACATTTTTAAAAAATGAGGAAATTCTCCTGTTTGATCTTTTTTTGGTTCGCTGAGGTATCTCAGCTGCTCTGTTCCTCCTCTCAGATTTCTTCTTCTTTCCTTAGAGCGCTGCCTTTCCTTCCACCTGCTGTCTGTAGGGGGCGCTGCAGCAGATTATCTCTAAACTGCAGCGTTTTAAAGGAAAAGTCCGGTCATCCAGGAATAATCAATGGATCATTATTTATACTTAACAAATGAGTTTGCTGTGATTTAATGAATTTTTCCTTAATCAGTAAAAAAAATTAAACATAAGTAGCGATCAATGAGTCTGGGAGCGGCCATCTTTACCCAAATATAGTAGCCCCTCCCTCCTGCCATCTTCCAGCAGTGACGTCACGGTGCGGTAAGCCTAGCGCCATTCTCCCCGCTTTCAAAGCTAAATGGGAACTACTAGACACATCTGCAATCAACAACAATTATTGAAGATTTCCAGAGGACTTCACCATTGAAATTCACCAGAGCTATAGTGAAACTGACAATGCCCACGTGCATGGCAGCTGGATGCTGGAATACATCGGGTAAAAGTGGAAAAAAAGAGTTATTCCACCTTTCTGATTCCTGATCCTCCACGGACGGGTTGGGGAGTAACGGATTACATGTGACGACGTTACGTAATTTAATTACAAAAAAAGAGTAACTGTAATTCATTACAGTTACAATGAGAAAATATGTAATTAAGTAACAGTTAGTTCCGAAAATATTAAGAATTACAAATTTAGTTACATTTTTTAAAAAATATAAAAAAAAAACCTTTACGAAATATGTAATGATATTTTATTGCTTCGCGCCCTGTATCGCCGTTTCGCGCTACAGCTCCTTGTCTCTATCATATTTGCCACTCTGATGATCCATCCTGTGCTGGTGGAGCCTCATGAGGAACAGGAAGCGAGCGGACGGTTCTATTTCAGCTCAAGCAGCGCATCAAAAATGGCAGCCTTCCAGCCCTGGAAATTTAAGCAGCATTTCATTTACATCTGTGAAAATGGCTCAAATTGAAACGTGCAGCGCAGGAAGTGTTTGCCGGCTATCAAGAACTTGTCCACGTCGAAGCAATCTATGTAGAAACCTGAGGAAACATTTAGAGGTAAGTGTAACTCACTGATAGATGAAGAATCTCTTCTTGTGGACGTCCTGTGATCGCCTGTCAGCAATTCCCTCTCAGCTTAGTGCTTTTTAAGGTTCACATTTAATTCTCAAAAATTAAATGTTGAACATGGGTCAATACTCATTAAAACCTTAAAGTAATCAAAAAGTAATCAAATGTAATTAGTTACATTACTTTTTAAAAGTAATTGAAAAAGTTACACTACAATTTCATTTTAAATAAGGTAACTTAACTGTAATAGATTACATTTTTAAAGTAACTTACCCAACACTCCACGGACGGGTTGGTCGTTGGATCGCCAACTTGAAGAGGGAGGATTTGCCATCGAACTTCTGGCCAGAGAAAAAACCCGTAATATGTAGCCAACATTTGGAAGAAGAATGTTTTCAAGATGACTTGGATAATAGCGCGTTGTGACAAACACCAGATACAGCACTGGGACTTGATAAACAGCCGATACCGCACCGTGACGTCACTAACCAGTAGGTGGCAGTAGTGTTCTTTGACAAACATGGATGCCTCCAGTAAAGCACATTCACATGAAAATTACTCTGAATTAAAAACACTGATCATTTATTGAACAGGATGGAATCATTTCACATTTAAAGAACTTTCAGAAGTTTGAATTCTGAATGTGAGCGACTTTTCCTTTAAAGGAAGAATTCTCACCAAAAAATAAAAATAAAAAATCAATCCACTGGACTTTGTTTCCAAGTCTGAAGACGTTTCTCTTCCATCCAGGAAGATTTTTCAATTCAAAATGTCAGAAATATAATTGTTCTTAGATTAAGAGAGCAAAAGGAGGAAGTTTTTATATTCCTGTGAGGAAGGACTCTGGAAAACTTCTGGTGGTTGGATGTGAGGAAAAAACCTCAGAACTAAAAATGTAGTTTTTCAGAATAAAAGACTCAGGGTTCAAATAGCAGTTTGGTGTAAATCTTTACTTCTGTACATTCATTGAAAGGAAATGCATCTCATGAAGGTGTAGTGTCGATGGGATCAGTGCTCACTGTAACCCTGCAGGACATTTATACAAACAGGATGAAGCTCCGCCCCCTTTGCGGCTCCTTAATGTCCGGCCGTCTCCTGCAGGAGCCGGAAATAACAGCTAATGATGACATACAATCTTCAAATGAAAACAATCTTGGTCACAATCAGAGAGTGAAGCTCACAGTTTGGCTCCATGTGATTAAATCAGGCTGTAAAGGAACGGTTCGTGCACATCCTGTTAGCGTCGCTGCGATTAGCCCGATTTTTGCTTGAAGCACAGCGCCACGTGTTCAATGTGGTAACCAAGGTAACAAAAACATCTTCAGATATTTTGCCCTTGATTCATTTTTTTTTTTTTACTTTGAAAAATGTGAGATAAAAAAAATAAAAGTTTCAATGAAAGGCGCCATCTTTAACTACTTCCCTTAGTGACCACTTGGTGGCAGCAGAGAGCTCTGGAAACAATCCAACGGAAACACAATTTTAACAAACATAAAGTAATAAAACTTGATCTAAATCCCATCAAAATGAGAAAAATGAACGTTGATCTGATTCTCTGCAGCTCAAGACATGGATTTAAGCTCTAAAATCAAATTAAACGTTTTGGTTAAACTTAAAATGTCTTAAAGGAATAGTACACCCAAAACATGATTAGCCTTCATTTTCTACTCACCCCCATGCTGAACAACACTCTGGAGTACTTTTTTGATATCTCAAATGCATCTGGAGATCTGGGAGGCTTCTTGCTGTCTGCTGACATTCAAATAATGGAGGTCTATGGCGCCCGAGGCAGAAAGGTCCATAAAAGTCCACAAAAAACGTGTCAATATTCCTCCATACTGCTCGTCCAATGTATTCCAAGTGTCCTGAGTGGGTAGCGTCCAGAATTTACTCGAAACAAAGTCATTTAGAATGTTTTTAGAGCATAAACAGTAGTGTATAGGATTTCCTAAAAGCGCGTTCATGACACTACGGAAGCCGGCAGACCAAACCAGATGAAAGTTCGCATTCAGCGTCTGCTCTGCCGATAATGCAAGCGTAGAAGAAGAAATGTGCCGTTTACCTGTGCAAAGAAAGAAACAACGAAAGAAAAATGTCTGAGGACTTCAGTGTTGAGGAAGAGCATGAGTTCTTTGCCGAGCTGAATGCGCACTTTCATCTGGTTTGGTCTGCCGCGGTTTCCGTAGACTCGTGAACGCGCTTCTAGGAAATCCTATACACTACTGTTTATGCTCTAAAAACATTCTAAATGACTTCGTTTCGAGTAAATTCTGGACGCTACCCACTCAGGACACTTGGAATACATTGGACCAGCAGTATGGAGGAATATTGACACGTTTTTTGTGGACTTTTATGGACCTTTCTGCCTCGGGCGCCATAGACCTCCATTATTTGAATGTCAGCAGACAGCAAGAAGCCTCCCAGATCTCCAGATGCATTTGAGATATCAAAAAAGTACTCCAGAGTGTTGTTCAGCATGGGGGTGAGTAGAAAATGAAGGCTAATCATGTTTTGGGTGTACTATTCCTTTAACAATGTGGCTTTTCTCTTCTGCTGTGCCACAGGGCTCACTGCTTGGTTCCTGTCTGAATCATCAGCTCACTGCCCTCCAGACTGTCCCTCCCAAAGGTCTCCTGCTCCTCTGCAGAGTTTGATGAAACAGGATGGTGTCCCTCAGGGCTCAGTAGTCGACTCCAGTCGGATCTCAGATCTCTGACTTCCGTCTGATGAACGCTTCATCTGAGCCTGAATCTAAATAAACCTCTGAGTTAAAATAAGGTTAAATAAAAGGTTAAAAATAAACTCAGACTTTCAGGGTTTTACCTCCTTTAGGGACGTGAGTTCTTCTAAAGATCGGACAGGACCTCGGAGGCCGTTTAAAAACATCCGAACGTGTCGGACCTTCTCCTGGTAGACCTCAGATACCAGCCGACTGGAGCTGTTCTTCAGAACTCACTGATTCTGCTTCCATTTCAATGGAGATTTTTTCTTCAAATCAGTGCATATGTTTTTGAATTGAGGAGATAAAAGATACTTTTAGCCAACGGAGCAAGACAATTTACACTTAAAATAGGAAAACACAATTGGATTGTCTTATTTTAAGATCATATTATCTAATTATCTTATTTTAAAAGTAGAAATACTCATTCCGTTGGCAAAATATATCATTTATCTACTCAAATTAAGGGCAAATACATGTAATTTAGGAAATTTTAACTTGTTTCTAGATAGTTTTTTTAGTTTTCTTACAGAACGTTGAAGGATTCATCAAAGCCAGAACCGGAACCATGAGGGTCTGAAACCTTTGTCAACAACAGCAGAAGGTTTGTTTGGTACAAAACATGGAGGAGGTGCTATAATGCTGTGGGATGTTTGTCAAAATGATGATAAACTCATAAAACCGTCCGGTTCTGACCGGTTTCTGCCATAAAGACCTGAATAAAACTCCTGATTCTGATTAATCCCTAAATGAACATCGACTTTCAGCCTCGTTTCTCCAATCGGATCCTCTCAGCCGTCTGATTGGTTCCTAAACGCTCCTCTACTCACAGAAAAGCGTCAGACAGAAGTGATCGCAGGGTTAAAAATGGAGCCAGCTTCCTGGAGCAGCCGGCGCCGCGCGGCAGACGCCACTAATGCCTCGTTGGTGGGATGGCGGCGTTATTTCCTGTGGACAGATGCTGCTGGATCATCTGGGAGGAATTAGAGGCTCAGACGGGCGGTTTGTGTTTGTCCAGCTGCTGTTGAGGACAGCGTCTGATTGGAGACGCTTTGGACACATTTCAGTTTATAATTCGGCGCTGTGATGTTACCGCCTTTCATCCTGAGCTTTTCCACATTTAAACAGGAGTCAGAAAAACTCAACCAGACTGTTTGTTTAGCAGCTGGACAGATGTTGCTTTAACGTGACGGCGGGCTGATCCAGTTCATGGCGAAACGGTTCTGTGGCGTTAAAGAAGTTCTGTCTGCGTTTAAATGTCTGCTTCACGCTGTCCGTCGGTTCCAGGTTCTGTTCAGTCCAGAGCCAGCAGGGGGGTGCTGGTCTCTCTGTCCATCTGTCGCAGAGCTGCAGCTTCCACCGTCGACTGAGACCTAAAAACACACAGAGAGACGTCGTTAGCATCGGCCAATCAGAACAAAGAACATCGAGGCTTCTACGCCTGCTTCCTGTCTGCATTTTGTCCTTTTTGATAAAGCTTATAGTTAGGGTGGCTCAGGTTATCCTGATCTATCTCTATAGTTCTGCTGCTATAGGCTTAGACTGCTGGAGGACATAGGGACCCCTTTTTCATCATTCTGCTTCATTCTATCTCTATTCTCCCACTCTGCAGAATCTATTAGTTCAATCTCTAACGTTCTGCTCTCTCTGCTTTTTCTCATAGTAGCTTCATCTGGTCTGTTCCTGTTTGGCTGTGACTCCATCCTGGAGAGAAATATCAGCTGTGCTGCTGCCATCAACATCTTTGTTTATAGATGATAGAGTTGGGCCTGGTTTTTTAGTGTTTAGTCCTGTTTCTCTTCTATAGCTATGGGCTCAACTTTTACTGGGACTAACTGGATGTTCTCTTTTTCATTTGATTAGCTGTTTCTTTCCCAGGCAAAGCCAACTGTGGAGCTAGTTTACTGTTACCTTTTTTAACATAGAATGTTTTTATAGATCAGTGCTTCTATGTTCATTTTCTATGTCTGCTTCTGTCTCCTTGAACCCCAGTGGGCCTCAGCAGATGGCCGCTCACACTGAGCCTGGTTCTGCTGGAGGTTTCTTCCTGTTCAAAGGGAGTTTTTCCTCTCCACTGTCGCTACAAGCATGCTTAGTGTGAGGGATTGCTGAAGAGTCAATGAGTCGATGCAATCAGCTGGTTTTCCTTAGATAGAAAACTTTGAATCAATCTGACTGGATGATCTGGTGAACTGGAAAGTGACCTGAGATGACATGATGTGAATTGGAGCTATAGAAATAAACTGAATAGAATGAACTAATTAATTGGCTTTAATTCAGGTCTGTATTGTTGCCAGAATAAAGAGTTCTATCTGGTGTCTCCTCACCTCTTCATCATGTCCTTGTCTCCCCCTCCTCCCCCACAGCTCTCCCGGACGTGCAGAGCGTCGTACGTCAGCGTATACTCCGTCTCGTCGTTATATTCGGGGCCCAGCAGGGTCCGCGCCCACATCCCCATATCGTACGGCGGCAGCGTCCCCCCGAACTCGGACGGCAGACACTCGGGCTGGATGAGCTGGTGGAGAGAGTTCAGGTTGTTCCCATGAAGGAAGATCTGAGGAGCCAGAATCAGGAGCAGCAGGAGGAGCAGAGGGGGGGGGGGTGGGGGGGGGGGGGGGGGGGGGGGGGAGGAAATTATCAAGAGGAATCAGAGAAGAAGAGGAAGGTTTTAGAAAAGAAGGATGGACAGGGAACATGGAAGCTGGAACAAGAGGAAATACAGGAGGGAAGGAAAGAAACGAGGAGAAAGGAAGAGAATAAAAAGCAAAGAGGAGAAAGAAAATATGATAAAGTGTGAGAAAAAGGCGAGACGTGGAGGAAAGGCAGCTGGACGGGAATAAAGAGATGAAACATGGATGAATAAGGATCCAGTATGCAGAGCGAGGAAGAGGAGGGGGGGTATTCACCCTTTTGCGCGTCTTGTCCTTGAGGAAGGGTTTGATGATGGTGTACATGGCGTGGATGTACCAGGGCTGGTTCACGAAGTGGATCCCTCCGAATCGAGCGGGGAAACTGTCCTGAGGAGACAAACGGGACGCGGTCAGAGCGGCGACCTTCGGCGGTGTGCGGCGACGCAGCAGCCTGAGCCCACCTGGAGACCCTCGATGGCCAGCTTCAGGATGTTGGGCGTCAGCTTGGAGGCCTGCTTGAAGGAGAAGTTACTCCAGTCGATGATGAGCGTGAAGCCGTTGATCTGCAGCTCCGGGTTTTCTATCAGGACCTCCAGAGACAGCAGGATGGCCCGCAGGATGTCTATGAAGGAGTTCCTGGAGGGAGGGAGGAGAGCGTGACGAACGCTGAGCGTTAGCCACAGCTCTGAGCCCAGCACAACGACTTCCTGTCTGAGGATCATTAGTCAGGAGGGAGATGGACGAGTCCGTCTAGAGGAGCTGAGATGGTTTAACTGCATCAAAGATCTTCTTCACACAGAAACTCCTCTAACCCTTTATAGGCGCCTCAGTGGAATACTTTAACATTTCCAGCCAATAGCGTTACTGGAATCCAGAACTTATTACCTTTGGAACAAAATATTTTAATGGTAAAAATTAATGTCAGCGTAATAACAAGAAACGCCATCTTGTTCGAATATATTAAGAAAAATAACAAAAGTGCTTCTTGAAGAATTTATTAATGCTGAAACTGACATTTTTTTAGTTTATAGACCTAAAGATCATTGTTAACTAGGTTTATTAACTTTTGAACTCTTTAATTAACTTTTTTTCATGATTTTTTAAACTTTGGAGCTTGGCCTGTTTTCCAGTGTAGTCCTGTTTCTCTGACTGTGACTAACTGGATGTGCTCTCTTCATCCTCTGACATGGGAGCTGGCTCGGAGCTCGTCTGCCTGGCTGTGTGTTTCCTGGACGGGGCCGCCTGTGGAGCTGGTTGGCAGTTGCCTTTTGTATCTATGCTTCTTTTTCTATGTCTGCTTCTGTCTCCTTGAACTCCAGTCGGCCTCAGCAGATGGCCGCTCACACTGAGCCTGGTTCTGCTGGAGGTTTCTTCCTGTTCAAAGGGAGTTTTTCCTCTCCACTGTCGCTACAAGCATGCTTAGTGTGAGGGATTGCTGAAGAGTCAATGAGTCGATGCAATCAGCTGGTTTTCCTTAGATAGAAAACTTTGAATCAATCTGACTGGATGATCTGGTGAACTGGAAAGTGACCTGAGATGACATGATGTGAATTGGAGCTATAGAAATAAACTGAATAGAATAGTTTTACTGATTAACGCTAAATTCATTAAATCACTTCTTATGTATTAGTTTTAGGTATAAAGATCCATTGATTATTCCTTGCTGATCAGACTTTTCCTTTAAAACATCCAAACGTGTCTGACCGCCTCCTGGTAGACCTCAGATACAAGCCTACTGGAGACGTTCTTCACTGGTTTTGCTTCCATTTCTTACAGATTTCCAGAAAAATCAGCACAGATCCAGAACGTCCATCAGTTGGAGGATTCATCAAAGCCAGAACCGGAACCATAGAGGTCTGAAACCTTTGTCAACAACAGCAGAAGGTTTGTTTGGTAGAAAAGTGAGCATCAAGAACCCCTAGACCACAGCTAAACATGGAGGAGGTGCTATGATGCTGCGGGATTTCCTTCTCAAATGACTGGGATGTTTGTTGAAATGATGATAAACTCATAAAGCCGGCCGGTTCTGATCCGAGACTTTATGCCGTCTGATGAAAAGATGAGTACGGATTTTATTTTCAGCCAGACAGGGAGATTATCATCCAGATTATCAGCTTTAACTCATGGGAGGTTCAGTTAGTTTTCTCCTGAGTAGCATTAACAACTGGACCGCAAACAGACTAACTTCGTCCTTCTGAAGGCATGGTCCTCGTGGAGACGGGAATAATGTGTGTTTTACCTGCTCTGGTCCCAGTTGGAAGCAAACAGGATCAGGATTTTTCTCCCGTGTTGATCTGGAGTCTCCAGAACTCCTGGAAAACCGTCCATCAGGGCTCGCTTGATGCTGGGGTCGTCCACCTGAGGAGGACACAGAGACGCCTGTCAGCTGGAAACACCTCCCCGATCCCTGGGACGTCAGAATGGAGGACGGATGGACATCCATGGACTAATCTATGTAATTAGATCAAAGCTAAATAAGTTCAAGCTACAAATATCCTGACAGATCCGGATTATTCTACATTGGCTTTATTTTTTAAGAAATTATTATCTGAGAGCCCTCAGCAGATGGCCGCTCACACTGAGCCTGGTTCTGCTGGAGGTTTCTTCCTGTTCAAAGGGAGTTTTTCCTCTCCACTGTCTCTACAAGCATGCTTAGTGTGAGGGATTGCTGAGGAGTCAATGGCTGTTTCTCAATTCAGAAGAACACGAGTACGGACTTGTGTCCTTGCCAAGTCTGTTTTTCAGAAGAACACAGGAAAGTCTGGACTTGGGAATAACGGGAACACGCAGAGTAATCTGGGTCATTTAGAACAGAAGCGTACTGATGACATCACCACATTCAAAGCTAGTCTGTGTTAGGACTCCAGTCTGTGTGGTCTGTGTTTTTGTGTGTTTGTCTTCCTTCCTCCACCAGGCGGCGCCCAATTCTGATTCTCCTCCTCACACACCTGCAAGGGGTTACCTCGCTAACGGAGGACTCTTAAGCTGCTGACCGCCACTACCTCGACGCCAGGGTGTTTGCCAGTTTTGGGTACTCTAGCCAAGCTGAGTTTTGCTGAGTCAAACTGAGTTCTTACAATTGTTTTTGTCTTTGCCTCTCGGCAGGAAGTCATCCTGCAAACTGTATTTTCAGACCTTCTCTCCCTGGAAGGATCTTCTGAGCTTCATCCTGAGCTGAGGAAACAAACCGGAGGATTGGATCCACTTTTCCCCCGAGGATTTGTTTGAGCTTCACACTGAGCAAGGGATTCATCTGCACCACAGTCCGTTCAAGTACCGCAGGAAAACTGAGTGGCAGTCAGTCTTTGCCGTTCATCTACAAGCAACCGCATTCTGGTTGCTTATAGATGTACCCTGTCCGCCCTCCACCGTATGAGACAAACACCGGAACACATTCCTCACCTACTGGAGTCTAAGAGTCAACCAATTCTCTGGAAATGAGTCTGCCTACCTTTCCTCCTCTTCAAGTCCGAGAATCAATTTTCCCACTGAACCTGAACTAACCACAGTGTCTTCCCCTCACCTTTCAGTTCCGGTTGAGCAGCGTTCAGAGCAACACTGGAATCTCCACAAAACTTCTCAATAAACCTGTTAAACTTTTTCCCTTGTCTCTCTGGACATTTATTGGGGGAGTAATAATGAACGCAGTCAGATAAAAATGTTGCCAAAAAACTCTCAATCATGGCCAGCGGTCCGTCAGACACAGCTATGCAGAGATAGGGCTGCTGCAGACGGGCTAACGTTTCACGTCATCAGAAAACAAGAACGCACAAGTACACATAGTGAGAAACGGCAAAGAGTTGATGCAATCAAGAAGATAGAAGTCCTTAGACAATCTGACTGGATGATCTGGTGAACTGGAAAGTGACCTGAGATGACATGATGTGAATTGGAGCTATAGAAATAGACTGAATAGAATTGAGAGTGAATTCCTGCTACTAGGACATCTGAACACTGGCACTGTGGTGAGGAAGACATGGGCTATTTTCAGTTATAGATTAAAAGTAAAGATTAGAACCTGGATTAGCTTAAACTGATTCTTAGTTGATGGTTAGCAGGTATGTAGCGTGTTTGAGCGTTGGGGAGGGTTCCTGCCATCATTGATTGGGGGGGGGCAGTAGAGGTCATTAAAGGAGCAGATTGCCCCACCAACATCACAATAGGGGAAACACTGGGATCCCTCAAGGCTGGGTTCCTGGACCACTACCCTTCCTCAGTCACTTTCAGTCAGTTTATTGCCCGTTATGCAGATGATGCATTAATATCTGTGACAGACCATCTAGTAGCTCAACTTCTACATGATACCACACCCTTAATGAGGAAATCTCCTCACATTGGGGGGGGCAGCAGAAAAACTGGGTTCTGTGTCGATGATTCAATGAGATTTGTTCAGGTTAGAAACATATCAGGCGTCTGATGGAAGTTTTACATTAGTAGCCATTTAAAACTTTGTAAACATCAATCTTTATACTGAAATATTCTTTCTGTCATGATTTGTGGACATTAAGATCTAAAGAGAAGCGCCATCTCCTGGTCAGGCCCTGTAATTCAGTGAAAGGATGGAGTCAGAGTAAAAAATATGCAAGAATTCGGCTGGCTTTTGAGCAGGAAGGGTCGTTTTGAAAGGCTGCTTCTGTACATCTTGGGAAAACTTTGAGAAAATGTGGAACTAGTCTTGTTAGGTCTCCACCAATCAGCCACACCTGCCCTACTTCCTGCTTTGCTAGCTCTGTAGCGCTAAAGCTAACCCTGAAGCACAAACCTTGAAGCTCTGGAACATGTCGAGGTTCTGCTGTCTGAACTGGAAGTACTGGGCCAACAGGCGGAAAGTCTCCATGTGGTCGAACTTTCTGGCTCTGAGGAAGCGGAGGATGAATTCATCGTCCGTCCGAAGGAAACCGATGTCCGGCCGCGTTACAATCATGTCCCGCACCTACGATAAAAACAAAGGAATCCCATAGAGACCGTCAACATCGGACACATTAGGCAGATGGTTTGCTGCAGTTTTTCTAAAGCTCAACGTCTGCAGGAGAAAATCTGATGAAGTTTGACTCCTAAAGTGACGAGATAAGACCTGACCTGATCGGTTAGTCCAGGTCTGAGGACTGCTTCCATGAATCTACCGTTCTGTCAGTGGTTCTCCAGTCCTGCTAAACTAAAGACATCTTTCTGTGCCTCTAAAGGTTCTAAGCCTGCTCTGGAAATGGAAAAATGACTCCTGACGCTAACGATGCTAACGCTCCTGATGGCTAAACCAAGGAAACAAATGAAACCAGAAGGTTAGCTGGATCTGTCCAATAGAAGGTGTTAGAATTCCAGTTCCTAGGGGCCAGTATCCTGCAACTTTTAGATCCATCCTAGGTGAGTTACCTCCTCAGTCTGCAGTCAGCTCCTCATAGTCCACCTAATTATCTAGTTAATTGATTCAGGTGTGTTGAATCAAAGGCACATCTAAAATTTGCAGGATAGCGGCCCTCAGGAACTGGAACTGCCCCCCCCTGTGTTAGATGGTGGATAGATTTTGAAACCCAGTCCATTCAAAAAAAGTTAAAATCAATCCTCTGGACTTTGTTTCCAAGTCTGAAGACGTTTCTCTTCCATCCAGGAAGCTTTTTCAATTCAAAATGTCAGAAATAGCGTTTAGTTCCAGGTTTTATCCAGCAGCCCAACAAAGCCTGGTTTTAGTTTAGAAAACATGCAAATAGAAACGGATGAACGGGTCCCCCCCTTTGGAATGGGGGTCGTTTGGCTTCTTTGTTAGCCTGCAATGCCCCATACCTGTCTATGTCTCTGAAAGGGGGGGCGTTAGAGGGAATTGTTGGCCTGAAAGCTGGAATCCGAGTCACCCCCCCTGTTTAAGGTCGGTTTTTCTTTCTTAATATAGATGGCTTCCTTCACGCCCCTCTCAAACCACCTGTCCTCTTTGTCCAAACATTCTGAACATTCTTGTCTCCAAAGAATGTCCTTGTCCATAAGGTCCAGATGTACTGCAGAGTCTTGTCCAGAGGAGGGCGCTCTCCTGTGTTGCATGGCCCTTTACAGGAGAACAGAAGACCTCCCCTATTCATCCAGGCCAACTATTCCCTCTAACGACCCCCCTTTCAGAGACATAGACAGGTATGGGGCATTGCAGGCTAACAAAGAAGCCAAACGACCCCCATTCCAAAGGGGGGGACCCGTTCATCCGTTTCTATTTGCATGTTTTCTAAACTAAAACCAGGCTTTGTTGGGCTGCTGGATAAAACCTGGAACTAAACCCTATTTCTGACATTTGGAATTGAAAAAGTCCTCAAACATCCAGTTGGTTTTTAACTTTTTTGGAATGACTGTGACCTGGATGACTGGGACTCTTCCCAGTCCATGTCCCACCTGCTGGATGTCCTGATGCAGAGTGTCGGGGTTTTCGTTCAGCTCCAGCCGAGCTTTCTCTGTGGTTTCAGAGCTCAGTCCAGGATGCATTTGGTTCATCATCTTATCACAGACGTCCAAAACGAATCTAATCCCAGATTAAAAGTACTGACGCCGACTTCTGGGCTATAATCTCCGTGAGGTCCAAGCTGATAGGTGGAACACAATCGTCGCTGCTGTTTGATCTCAGGTTTAGTCGAATTGAAACAATCGGAAGAAGAAGACGACAATCAGGACGTTTGAACCGACAATCATCTCAGCTGTCGGATCCCAGGAGCTTTTTTATTAACCTCGTAAAGATTCACTTGTTAGAGTTTGTGATTTTCACTCATGCTGGTGGAAGAAAAGAAGTTCCTCTTATAAAACGCAGGCAGGTCCAGCTCATCCTTCCTGTCCTGCTCTCTGCTGCTGAGACGTCCTCCTCGTCCTGCTGGCTCCCATCATGGCTGCTCCATAGCATGGAGGGTTGGCTGGAGGAGAATCCAGATGTTTTTACTGAGACAGTCCAGCGTCTGTTAAGGCACCTGGGTCCAGCGTGGAGCTCCTCAGCCTGCAGGACAGAGGACACATTGGACAAAGACAGGGTTAAGGTACATATGTCAAAGTTAAGGCCACGAATTGTTACTTCCTGCCCCCTGGAGGATATTTAATGACCATTAGAACCCGCCCACAGGCCACGGCCGCTTGTTTGCGCTGCTGTGACTTCGCAGGCTACTGTTGCATTGTGGGGAATGTAGTGTTGGTGCGGTTGTGTTGCAGCACCAGCTCACATTCCCAGGGGAAGACATGATTGTAACCGCATTTCAGACCGATCTAGCTTAAAGAACGTTGCCGGAAAACGCCAGCATCCTCGCATCAAGACTCCATCGGAAGACATATTTCCTACCGATACTCTGATGGAGACGGAGCGCTACCTCCAGGCGCTGACCTCTGCCCTGACTGTGCCGTCTCTTCACCTCCCGGTATTCTCTACCTGGCGTACGGATCCCACCTGCCCCTCATTCTGCAGCGTGTCCACCACTATCACCCGCAGGATCCTCCCTCCATCCAGGCTCCTTTTATTTTGTTAAACGACCCATTCATCGGTTTCCATTTGCATGTTTCCAAGCAATAAAAGGCCTTGTCTCTATAGAGACTCAAACTCACTGCGGATCCAGATATTTGAATTAAGAAAAATTCCTGGAGGGGAAGCGAAACGTCTTTAAACCGTGAAAACCAAGTCCAGTGGATTGTTTTTTAACTTTTTACGGAATGACCTGGATGACTGAGAATCTTCATCAGCATCCAAAACAATCCAAACATGCAAAGCATCACTAAGAAATTAAAAAATAAAAGAAAAACTGAATCATATTTTCCTGTTTTCTGAAAGCAGTGATCAGTTGGATTATAGAGCAGCGCAGTGATGCATTTTTGGTCATAATGAACGCACTTTCATTTCTGTATTTATCTTAACAAATGTATTAATAATATTGATATTAATATTTAGAAAAACAATGTTAGATCCTGGTTCAACAGGCTTTGTTCATTTCAATATGTTTTAATAAATATTTAACCAGTCCGGCCCTCGGCTTGTAGCTAATCAGTTCTTTGGCCCTCGGTGGGTTAATGTCGCCTCATACTTCAGGGATTTACTGGAAATCAGGAGCTTTTCTGTTTCTCTTTGCTTTTTTCAGACAAGATGCAGAATAAACTTTAAAAAAAAAAGTAAAAAAAAAAACTGGAACAGGCCTGCAGAACTCTGTTTCTGGGGATTATTTATAACTCAGCCGCCCTCACTGGAAAAAACATCTAGAAATAAGTCAAAATTTCTCAAATTAAATGTGTTTACCCTTCATTTGAGCAGGTAAATGAGTTTGTTTGCCAATGGAATGAGGATTTTAAATCTTTCTTGTTTCTATCTACACTGCAAAATCTTTAAATCACTTTTTTTTCTTAGAATAAATGCATTTTTTCTTGAATTAAGGAGGTAAGTCAGACACTTTGCCAGCGGAAGAAGACAATTTACATTTAAAATAAGGAAAAATAAATATATTGTCTTATTACAAGCACATATTATCTAATTACCTTATTTTAAGAGTAATAATACTCATTCTGTTGGCAAACAAACTCATTTACCAGCTCAAATTAAAGGGAAATACATTTAATTTAAGACATTTCTACTCATTTTTAGGTCGTTTTTGCAGTGTATAGTCCTGTTTTCTCAAATATCTGCAGCTTCATCTCCTTTCTTTTCTCAAATAAATACAAGGGATTTATTTTCTCCTGTTTTCGCCTCCCCTGCAACCCAACCCCCCCCCCCCCTCCCCCGCCAGCTGATCCCCATCTGCCCCCCCACAGTAAACAGGTCAGATGTGTCCCCCTCCATGCTCGGATAAAATCCTCCAGAAAGATCCAGAAAAGGCTCTGATGTGACCTGTAGGATCCTCCTGCTGCAGGGAGGAGCAGCTCCCTGCAGCAGGAGGATCCATCCTCACAGGGAGGAGCAGAAATGTCCTCCTGTTTGAGGAATATCTTCACAGAGGAGGGGGGCTTTAGGGAGAGCAGCATCCTTCAGGAGGAAACTGGTTCCTTCCAGCAGGAGCATCCATCCTCACTGGGAGGTGAAGGAGGAGCAGCAGCTCCAGCTGCATCCAACCGGAGGGAGCAGAGGAGGTTCAGGAGGAGAAACATCTCCCAGGAGGATCAGGAATCTATTTTCATCTGGAGGAGAGACCTGCTCGCTGCTTGAATCCTGGCCATCCTGCCTGGCCCATCGGCCCTCCGGTAGAGCTGATGCTGATGGAGGAGGAGGAGGGGGAGCAGCAGGAGGTCTGCATCCCGCGCATAAAAAGATTTAAAAAAGGTTAAAAATGATAATAAAGAACAATAATAAAGGAAATGAAAGAATAAATCCTGAAGGTGTCCGAGAGGAGGCGCGCGCCTGTGAGTCCGTGTGAATGCGCAGCAGGAGGAGGAGGAGGAGGAGGAGGAGCAGGTTCACTTTGTGCTCCCAGAAAAGACGTCAGGACGCTTCAAGGTTGTCAAAGCAGCGTCAATAAGCCAGGTAGCTTCCGGTTAGGACTTTAACAATAAAAGCTGGGGAAAAAAATATCAATTGGGAAAAAGATTTTTCTTAGATCTTAAAAAAAAAAAAAAAAAAAAAAATTAATTTAACGAGATGCACAGAAAGAAATAAAATTATAATCTAAGATGAACTGCAGAATGAACCTTTATTTTGGGCGTGGCGGCGCAGGGTGCTGGGGGCCACACAGTCCCACAGACTGCCACTCTGCCAGGGGCGGAGCTAGACGGGGGGCCATCATTGCCCACCCCTACCATTTTTCCCCCTCTTATACAGACGTTGCAGCACTAATCATCTCAAAGGGGAATGTTCAAACTTATCAAACATTTTAATTGTTCATATATTAACAATTACTTGATATTTTAAAACGCTGTGGTTAATGTTGCACATCAATATACAAACATTAAAGCTGATATATACAGAATTCCTGCTCTTTTCAGAGCTACGTTTTGTGTTATAGGAGGTTAAGAGAAAATTATGTTTCTGTAACTCATCTAGGAGTCTACTACTTTAATAATAACAATTTAATGTAGATATTATTGCATGTAAATATACATTTTTTGCAGAGCAATTTTTGATGAAAGCAGCTAAGTAATGCATTCAAAAAGATGTCGGACCCAGAAATGTTATCCACTATAACTTTAATGTAGACATCATGATATTTAAATAGATGTGTCTATTTGTTAGAGAAAGCTGTAGGAAAGTATAGTTGGTTTTTATTTAGAAAATATGGATGTTGTGCTCGTTCCTGTTAGAACAGTTTAGATCAGTGGTTCTCAAACTTTTTCTTTCATTCCCCACTTTGGACAAGGGGGAATTTTCAAGCCCCGCCTGTCCCCATCGCCCCAACACAATACTAATGAAATATGCAACAATCTTAAAATGTTCCAATTTTATTGAAGTAACAAGTAGTATCTAAATACAAACTATCTACATCAAATAACAGCAAGCTCAAAAATAAAGAAAATAAAAATGCAGCTGTGTCAAAATTTGTATCAAGCTCAAAGATAGAAAAAATTTCAGTTCCACTCTGCAATCTGTTAATAAAAGAAAAGAAGTGAAATCCATCTGGCAAGACAGGTCTATTTATCCCTGCATTAGTGGCTGCGATGAGCCTGTTTTGCATTGCACAGTTTCTCAAAACGGGGTTGCAGGCTTGATACTGCCACTCTCAAGTCATGCTCAATGTTCAGCTGAGATGGGAGTGGGAGAAATAACGTTGTTAGAGAGAGACAAAAAGTGAGTAAAAACACCCAAATAATATAGAGCTACTTTTTTCTGTCCATTAATGTTTATTATTATTATTATTGTTTTATTAATGTTTAATTTATTACAATACTAACCCTCCTCCTTTACCCGGTTTGAGACCGGCAAAATGAACCATAAAGAGACACTATGGCGGAGTTACAATTTTTTTTAAACTTTTTTAAACGTTTTCTTTTTTTCCCTTGTGGTCCACCAAGGAGCCTACAAATCACGGTACAACATGAACATGCTGCTGTGTGAATCAAACGCCGTTATTTATTTAAGATAAAATATTTCAAATTCAGTTATTTATGATCAACCTGCGCCGCCAATCCCGGCGCATGTGCGCTTCATTTGCAGTCTGGACGCTGAGGGTAAACATGCTGTGTCTCTGACTGCAGCGCTGAGAGGGACTCCTGCGATAGCGGGGGAGAACGGGGTGGGAATGGGGGAGGCGCCCCACGGCAGCACCTGCCGCTGGAGGACAAGAAAAGGAACGATACGTGCTTTCATGTAAAGTCTCCAAAAGTCGCTAGATTTGTCGCTAGTCGCTTTTTTGATAAAGAGTCGCTGGAGGGGTCTGAAATATAGCGACAAAGTCGCTGAGTTGGCAACACACAACATTATTACAAATAATATGCCGACGTCACGTCAATCATTATTTTGGCACTTCAGTTCCAGGTGACATTTTTCTCATATCTAATGTTCTTTTAATTAGACTGCATGTAGGCTATTAATGATTACTTTGTGGGTTTGATTGGTCTAAAAAGCGGCAACATACAGCTATAAGGACAGTTTGCTCTCACACGTTCTACATTTATAGTCACACACACACACACACACACCGGAACTTGGCGCGCCCCACCTGTCACGTCTCAATTCCCCACCAGTGGGTCGCGCCACACACACTTTGAGAACCGCAGGTTTAGATTGACCCTGAGGCTTCCCAGCATTCAATGCAGGACCAGCAGGTTCTGCAGCAGCTGCTTCCCCACCGACATCAGACTGATGAACTGTTGAGAAACTCTAAATCATGTCACAGATTCTGCATCAAACTGACCATAATAATGACCATTTTTTATTTATTTTGCACCCTGTCTTTCCTCCCACACTGTTATGGACTGGAAATGTGAAATTGTATTTCAGTTAGTCTAAGTCTAAGTAAGTTAAATAAAGATAAATAGAAGGAAACATGTTTAAATGTAATCATATAAAACTATGTCCATCTAAGGTGTTAAACCTAATAAATAAATGAGTAACATTTGACCCGTTTAAAACGGACTTTATCTCAGAAACTGTAATTCTGTTTCAAATTATGAGTGTAATGCTTTTATTTTGATAATCCGACTCCCCGGGTTTCCGTTTTAACGTTCACACACCTGCACGCGCCTGCTGGTCTTAGCTTTGATGATGCGCGTCCATGAGTTAAACCGGACAGACGGGGGCGAGCGAGCACGCGCACTCCTTTATTGTGATGTCGGTCAGAATTTCTTTGTTTAATTTGAGTTCTTTGCCTGGAATAAGAGGAAATTAACCATTTAGGTTTTTACACATTTTTATTTTAGCTGAATCTGTTAAGATAATATTTAAACGGGAGTTTCCTTTTTTATTTATATTAGAGTGAATTTAACAGTGCTCTATCTATCTATCTATCTATCTATCTATCTATCTATCTATCTATCTATCTATCTATCTATCTGTCTGTCTGTCTGTCTGTCTGTCTGTCTGTCTGTCTGTCTGTCTGTCTGTCTGTCTGTCTGTCTGTCTGTCTGTCTATCTATCTATCTATCTATCTATCTATCTATCTATCTATCTATCTATCTATCTATCTATCTATCTATCTATCGTTAATCTTATTTCCAGTATTTTATATTTGAAGTATCAAAATAAAACCTGCAGTTTACATGCTTTTATTGTGACGGCAGCGGGTATTTAAGCTAAACAGTGACGTATTTCCTCCCGTTCCAAGGTTCACCGTGTCCAGTTGCTTGTCAGACTTATTTCGTCTCCATTTAAACCTTCTTCTAATCCTTCTAGAAAATTTTTCTCACCGCTGACTTCCTCAGACGTTCAGACAGCAGCTTTCTGTTCGCCTCGCTTCGCCTTTTCCTCCATTTTTGCGCCGTTTTCCGCCTTTCTGTGTCGAACTTTTCCCAGTTAGCTCCGCAGCTAGCCACCATTTCCCCCAGAAAGAACCAATCAGCTGATCGATATCTGCAGCATGGATCAATCAGGAGTCGCAGCTCAAACCCAGAAGGTAAGAATTAAAGCTGCTTCACTTCTGTTTTAATGTTTTATCCTGTCAGCTTTTAATTAGATCAGGTTTATGGGTGTTAGCTGTTAGCTTAGAGTCAGGCCTCTGACCCAGGCTTTAAACACACGGAAATGAACTTTGAACATTTGACAAGATAAGGATTTATTAATATTTAGTGTATTTTATTAATGTTCCTCCTGATGTCATGTCGGAGGAGATTAAACTAAAGCTAAATGGATTAATAACAGTAAACAGAACCAGACCCTTTTAAAAAAAAGCTGTCAATAAACTTTATTTAAAATGATTCACCAAACAATATGAGCAGCAATTAGGACATCAATAAAGATAAAGGTTTCAGCTTGTTTTTCCAGTTTTTTATTGAACTTTTGGGCTAATCCGTTTAGTTTACAGGGAATTATGTTAAAAATTTAGACTCTTATTTAATAAAATCATTGGATGCCAAAAATGTAATCTCATAAATGAAGATCTGAGATAGAAATCGAGCAATAATTAGTGTTTACATTTTATTACAGGAGATCCTTTTTAAAATTAAAATTTGGCAAAGAAAAGAAATCTGACCTCAAAAGCAAAGTTTAAGTTTTATTTATTTATTTTTTGTTGTTGAACTAAATATTTCTTTTTGTGGTCAGTAGTTGTCTGGATACGACAGAGTATTAAGGCCAGGATAGAGAGTTTTTTTTTTTTTTTTTTATTTAGAAAATAAAGTCGCAACAATACAAGAATAAAGTTGTATTTTATGACAACCCTTTCTTCCCTAAAATGAGGAATGTGGAGCATCATGGGAAGTTCTACTTTAGCATCGGTTTGACAAATCAGGAAATCTTTTAGCAGCAGCATCAAACTGGGCAGGATGTCAAAGTGGACTCTGGTTGCTGATTGGTGGAGCTGGGTGGCCGTCATCTGCTGGGCGGAGCTCCAAGCTTTCTTTCTGAAACTGGTTCATAAATGATGACTTTATTCACGTAATGTTACGATTTTATTCTTGAAGTAATAAAAAAATCTCCAGCCTGGCCCTAATACTCCGTCGTAGTCTGGATGATGTCTGAAGAATAATGACATAAATAACTGAGAACATGAATAAAGGACTTTGTTGTTAATAGAAAATGATCAAAAGCCCAAAGGAGGTTTGTTGAAATTATAGAAGTGTTTTTCTGAAGGATAAAAGGAAATCTAGAGATTGAATTTCTACTGAGGCCAGATCAACGACAATCTAAAAGTCAGTCTAATGTTTAGGAGGAATGTTAGAGCAGAGGCCTGGAGGCCAAGGAGGACATGGAGAACAGGTTCAGGTATCTGAGAGGAGCTTCAGGTTACTCAACCTGATTACGTGTCAAATAAACTGATCTTTAAGTTTTTAACAGTTTTTTAATTAAAACAGAGTAGATCTATGATTCTAGAATAATCAGAGTGTAACTGGATATTAATTTCCTCTAGAGCTATAGAACTAGAAGTGATTGCAGGTCGCCGTACACCTCTGATTACAGAACCAGCTGGCCCATTTAACTGGACATGTTGTAAACCATCCATAAATGCTTTCCTGCTGCTGCAACAGTAACTGTGATGTCATTGGTTGTGGGCGGAGCCACAATGAGCTCAGGGCATGTCTGAACATGTTCCACATTCTCGCTGATCCAATCTGTTTATTACAATGAGCCGGGTGTCATCAGGAGGAGAGCCAATCAGATCAGGGTGTCTCCTGAGGAGAGCCAATCAGATCAGGGCTCACTTTACAGCATCAAACTGAGAATAATGGGGCAGCCAAGTAATCAGATTACAATCCCATCTTGGGTTTCAAAGCCAGTTCTTATGGTTCTGACAGCAGAACCTTCTGATTGGACCTGTTTTTTGTCTCTGCAGAGTCCGTGGGGCTCGGTGGGCCCGGCGCCGCCTGCCTGCTCTCTGACCGATGTGATGAGCGAACAGCTGGCCCGACAGCTGGATGAGGAGAACGGCGCCTTCCCGGGGCTCTCAGAGTGAGTCCGGTTTCCTGGTTCTGAACCCATGTTTCCTTTATGATCCTCAGCAGTTAGCGTTTTGGTTCCGAACGGTTCTGGACCTGAATATTGTCTCCAGGACCTTCAGATCTTCATTATTCTCCCACTAGAGATGTTAGATTGAACAGAAGGTTTGCTGTGTTTCCGCTGAACCTGACCCGGTTCTGTTCTGTTGGGTCCCCCAGCCCTGCGGCGGACCTGCTGCTGTCGGAGGACGCTGCAGACACCACCAGCGACCTGATGCTGGCCCAGATGCTGCAGATGCAGTTCGACAGAGAGTTTGACGATCAGCTGCGCCGCGAGGAGAAGAAGTTCAACGGAGACAGCAAAGGTGGGCGGCTCCTCCTGTTAGCCTTCAGGAAAATCCTCATCTGACTAAACGGGTCCGTCACAAGCAAGCAATTTATTTGTCAACTACAATATATATACATTTCACACTTCATCCTTGACAAGGAACAAGAAAAGCACATGTAGTACGAGATAAACATTTCATCAAAAGGAAAACATCAGAGACTGGAGCCACATGAAGGTCAATCTGACATTTCAGACATTAGTTGTGTGTTATAAACTGCGTTCAATTTGTTATTACCCTTGATAAGATGGTGTAGGAGCCATTAATCCGTATTTATTTTGAGTTCTGACTGTCTGATGGGGGGATGTGTTATTTAAGGTCAACCATCAATTCTGTTCAGGTGTTGTTAGTAGGCTGAGGCAAACGGTTTTCTACTGCGCTTGGTTTGGATATATGTGGAAATTATGTGGATCTTAACGGAAACAGTAAGACACAGGACATTTAACTGTAAATAAATGACTTTATTTTATGTCAAACGGGGGATCGGCATTCTGGATCATAAGTGAGCGCACGTAAAACCAACGCCTTTCAACAACAACCACCAGTAGCCTAAAATATAGGATTTTAGCCGCTACAGATGGAATTTTATCAACCAGCACTAAAGTTCTGGATGCATCACCAGATGTTCTCGGGCGGGGGAGGGGGAGCAGTTCTTCTGTGTCCTTTTACCATAACATCCAGGGGAGATTTTGATAAGGTGGAGACCGTATCCAGAAAACACTTATTGTTTGGAGAGCAGGCTGCGCAGGAATTTTCCTTCAGGCTTTTATTGCTGGCTCTACGTGGCGACTTCATTATTCCATATTCGTTGGTCTTTACCGCCTTGAAGCGAGCATGCTCATCCAAGATATCCCGTCTTACCTTTGAGTTCAACCAGCGCAGCTAGCCTCCGTTTAATCGCACCCAGCATACAGCTCAGCTAACGGTCCTGCTAACAGTCACAGCCTTTGCGAGGGCGTCATCCGCTGCCAGCAGCCTGATCATCGCCCAAATTGCCGCTGACATCCTCTGACTGTAGATACATCAGGTATCCTCCAAATCCAGACAGGTGAAATCGGAGTATCATAAATCTGATAATCCAAACATCTTCGATATCCTCCAAGCCTTCCAGGAGTCCATGGCGTATCCCTGTGTTACTCTGATGGGGTTCGGTTAGTTCCGCTTCTCCACCTTTAAGGTGTTTCTCTGCTTGTGTTCAGTCTCCATCTCCTTTGAGAACTACCGGATGGTCCATCCCTACGAGGACAGCGACAGCTCCGAGGACGAGGTGGACTGGCAGGACACGAGGCGCGACCCGTACAAAGCCGGTAAGAACCTGCCGCAGATGTTTGGCGGCTCCGAGGCGGCGTCTCATCCTGTGTTTGTTCTCCAGACAAGCCTCAGACGACCCCCAGGAGAGGCTTCAGCGGGAAGGGGAAGAACATCACCACCAAACACGACGAGGTGATGTGCGGACGGAAGAACACGGCTCGCATGGACAACGTGAGGCACACACTTCGTTAGCTTTACCTCCCGTTGGTTCTGGAAGTCCTAACCACCGGCTGTCTGTGGTCCAGTTCGCTCCGGAGGTCCAGGTGGGGGACGGTTTGGGGATGGACCTGAAGCTGTCCAATCAGGTGTTCAACTCTCTGAAGCGCCACTGCTACAGCGAGCAGCGCCGCAGCGCCCGGCTGCACGAGAAGAAGGAGCACTCCACCGCCGTACGTATGACCCCAGAACGGCGCCGATCCGGGCCCGATCCGGAGCTCACTGTCCCGCCCTCCTCCGCAGGAACAAGCCGTGGACCCTCGGACCCGGCTGCTCATGTATAAGATGGTGAACGCCGGCGTTCTGGAGAACATCAACGGCTGCATCAGCACCGGGAAAGAGTCTGTGGTGTTCCACGGCGACGGAGGAAGGTGAGCGGGTCGGACCTGTAGGTGACCCGGCCGTTCTGTCAGAGGTCTAACGGAGGTGTGCGTGTCTCAGCCTGGAGGAGCAGCCCGTCCCAGAGGAGGTGGTCCTGAAGGTTTTCAAAACCACGCTGAACGAGTTCAAGACCCGAGACCGCTACATCAAGGACGACCAGCGCTTCAAGGACCGCTTCGGCAAACAGAACCCCCGGAAGATCATCCGCCTGTGGGCCGAGAAGGAGATGCGCAACCTGAGCAGGTACCGGAACCCAGCCGTGTGAGCAGAGGCACGCGGCAGCATCTTCTCTGTAACCGTGGTAACCGTCTCCTCAGGATGAAGAAGGCTGGCATTCCCTGTCCGGACGTGGTTCTGCTGAAGAAGCACATCCTGGTGATGTCGTTCATCGGGAAGGAACACGTTCCTGCGCCCAAACTGAAGGACGTGAAGCTGGGCAGTGAGGAGATGAAGGGCGCGTACCAGCAGGTGGTGCAGGTAGGACGCCGGCAGGGCGGGGGGGGGGAGGTCCTCCATCACCATGGTTACTGATTAGTTTATGCTTCCGTTCAGCTGATGCAGCAGCTCTACCACGACTGCAACCTGGTCCACGCCGACCTGAGTGAATACAACATGCTGTGGCACCAGGGGAAGGTAGGCGTCCTGCTTCCTGTCGCCGTTCGGGTCCATCAGAGTCTCCTCTCACCTTTGCCCCTCCCCCCCAGGTGTGGCTGATTGACGTCAGTCAGTCGGTGGAGCCGACTCATCCTCACGGGCTGGAGTTCCTCTTCAGAGACTGCAGAAATGTCTCCACGGTAACGACTCAGACCAGCAGCAACTGGGCCATCGGACGGGTTCTGGTTCCCGTGCCTCTGAGGGTTCTGGTTCCCGTGCCTCTGGTGGTTCTGGTTCCCGTGCCTCTGAGGGTTCTGGTTCCCGTGCCTCTGGTGGTTCTGGTTCCCGTGCCTCTGGTGGTTCTGGTTCCCGTGCCTCTGGTGGTTCTGGTTCCCGTGCCTCTGAGGGTTCTGGTTCCCGTGCCTCTGAGGGTTCTGGTTCCCGTGCCTCTGAGGGTTCTGGTTCCCGTGCCTCTGAGGGTTCTGGTTCCCGTGCTTCCGAGGGTTCTGGTTCCCGTGCCTCCGAGGGTTCTGGTTCCCGTGCCTCCGAGGGTTCTGGTTCCCGTGCCTCCGATGGTTCTGGTTCCCGTGCCTCTGATGGTTCTGGTTCCCGTGCCTCTGAGGGTTCTGGTTCCCGTGCCTCTGAGGGTTCTGGTTCCCGTGCCTCTGAGGGTTCTGGTTCCCGTGCCTCTGATGGTTCTGGTTCCCGTGCCTCTGAGGGTTCTGGTTCCCGTGCCTCTGAGGGTTCTGGTTCCCGTGCCTCTGAGGGTTCTGGTTCCCGTGCCTCTGATGGTTCTGGTTCCCGTGCCTCTGATGGTTCTGGTTCCCGTGCCTCTGAGGGTTCTGGTTCCCGTGCCTCTGATGGTTCTGGTTCCCGTGCCTCTGAGGGTTCTGGTTCCCGTGCCTCTGAGGGTTCTGGTTCCCGTGCCTCTGATGGTTCTGGTTCCCGTGCCTCTGATGGTTCTGGTTCCCGTGCCTCTGATGGTTCTGGTTCCCGTGCCTCTGATGGTTCTGGTTCCCGTGCCTCTGAGGGTTCTGGTTCCCGTGCCTCTGAAGGTTCTGGTTCCCGTGCCTCTGAGGGTTCTGGTTCTTGTGTTGCAGTTCTTCCAGAAGAGCGGGGTGGCTGAGGCCATGAGCGTCTACGAGCTTTTCAACGCCGTGACCGGCCTGAACATCCCAGTGGTGGCCGAGGACGAGTCTCTCTTCATGGCTGAGGTAACGGGCCCGGTTAACAGTTTGGCTTCATTTCCTCCCAGATTGATGGATCACTGGTCCCCAACTTTCAGAACACCCAACCAACACCCAAGTCTCGGTCGTCAGCTCTGAGCACGTGCAGTAACTCCTCCCCCTCTGTTCCCTGACAGATCGTGGCCTTGGAGAAGAAGCAAGAGGATCACATCCAGAGACGAGGGAAGAAAACGTTCCCGCTGACGGAGGACGGCGGCCCCCCTCTAGAACCCGACTTCGATGACTAATCCCCCCGACCCGCCTAACCACCGACTCGCTTTGATCTGCCGTGTCACCAATGTTGTACGGAGGACATGGACCCAAGAGGAGGCTTCTGGGTCCATCCCCCCACCCCCAACAGAACCCCACCCACCGCCTGCTTCATGGCAGGATGCAGCGCCGCCTCCTGGCTGCAGGAGGGAGGGTCTCCTGCAGGCTGAGAGGGAATCATGTCCTCCTGCTTTATGGCTGTTTGATGTGAAGCTGAAAACAGAAGCACTTGAAGGTTATCAGTCGTTACCTGATGGGCCAATCAGACGCTCAGATGCTCCGACGCCGATTGATTAACGAGCTTTTAACGAGTCGTGGTCGGACCTCCTCAGTCTCTGTTTTAATGGAGTGACGGATGAAAACCAATCGGCTCCTGAAGCCCAGATTTCCTGCTTTTGCTCAGTTTTTTTTTTTTTGTGTGTGATTTTATCGGGTGGGATGAAGTAAAAATATTAGGATTCATGTTTGAATAAATGTAGAGAAACTGCTGGTTTGCTGTGAGAGAAAACATCCTAAATGTTTGTCGTTAAAATCATCCTGACAAAATAAAGAGGTGAAAGCTTAAGAATCACCACATGGGTTTGTTTGTTTTGTTTGTTTCTTTAACAGTCATTTCTATTAACATGATATAAGAGTGGACCCATTGACTGTCGCCACGCAGGAATTACGGGCGCCATCTTGGGGAGGTCAATCTGCAATCCTAACTAGTTGGTGTAGGCAGCAGGATGTCTGCACTGTGCAGCGGATTACTGTTTGTATGACTTTGTGAAGGATATATATATATATATATATAGAGAGAGAGAGATTTATTTATTTATATATATATATATATATAGAAAAGTGTACCATTTAAAGAGTGTATAAAGTGACAGGAGTTAAAAAAAGCAATGAAAATAAGTCCTGCAATGTAAAGTGTTTTTACAAATGCATTTAAGAATAGACCAATATACATCTGTGGACATTTTTACTATATTTATATATAGAGAGAGAGACAGACGGATATTTGTATACATAGCAATAAAAAAAATGGCTGTTCTTTGCAACATTCATCCATCAGTGAAATATTTGTTTGTTTTCAGCAAAAAAAAACAAACGTGAAAATAAAGTACAATATTCAGCGAGTTAAAATTCTGTTCCCGCTCAACACATCAGTAGAACTGTCGACCTCCCCAAGATGGCGCTCCGAATCACGTCAGCGCCCATAGGTGAGAGCGATCGATGCGGGATCTACTTCTATTATTATCCATGGTCATTCCCTTCCTGCTCAGGACCAGGCATGTGATGTATGACAGGTCACATGATTTGGCTAGTGGCTTCCGGTCTGGCTCTTTCAAAGTAAGACTGATTGATTCCTCTCGTTATCATATTAATCCCTATCTAATTCTAATCAGTCCAATTAGAGTTGGGTTCTAGATTATTTCAGGTGCAGGTACTGAATAATCTCTGGGATCCAATGCAGTTTAACGACTAAAGAACTGAATGAACACCTTTCCCAACTAAATCCTCAGCTTCATCTATCGCCATGACAACTGGACAGAAGAAGGTAAAAATCAGGAGAAAACGTTGAAAAGAGGCTCAAAACACCTGAAATATTATCATTAAGGAGGGAAAGTAAGAAAATGTCAGGAAGTGAAGTAAAAAAAGAAAATTAAATAAAACTAATTTTAAACTAATCAGGATATCTGGCCCTAAATCTCTGAGTTAAAAGACAAAACGCAGTTATTAATTTATTTATTGTTTTAATTTAAATCAATATCTATTAATGCCAAAATAAAACCAGAGTAAATGGGAACGGCTCGCTGCCCGGCTCTTATTTTGAAAGTATAACGCGGAAGTCCGGTCAAAGCTGGTCTTGCGGTTCCTCGCTCCTCTTTTTCTCATTTAAAGCGCAGCTAAAGTTGCGCTCCCGGTGGTTCGGCATGGCGGAGGAACATTACCTGGAGCTCAGTGAGAACCCGGTCCAGTTTGAGCACGCGTCCAGCGTCAACAACGTCTTCTTTGATGAAGCTAACAAGCAGGTAAGCTAGCCTGTTAGCATCCGTCCGGCTAAAGCACCGAGCTAACAGATAGCTCTGTGGTTTAAACTAATGATGGTGACATGAAGCTTCATTGAACAGTTTGGGTTAATTTCTCCAATGATCCCCGCAGTTCATGAAGCTCCATGTGAACATGTCTCCCCCTACTGGTGGAGCGCAGAACTACAGTTAGTGATAGAATATGGGATTTTTAGCAATATTGTTTTTTTTTTTCTTCCCCCATATAAGATCATTTAAAATAGTAAATATTTGGTCTATATAATAATAATAATAATAATAATAATAATAATAATAATAATAATAATAATAATAATAATAATAATAATAAAAAAAAAATATATATATATAGGACCATCAGAAACTGGCAGTGATGCTAACTTAATGATAAATTAGACATTATGAGGACAAATTTGATTGAATTATTTATTATGTTGGCTTAAATTAGTCGGGAAGTTATAATAAAATTTTTCATTTATGTTTAACTCATCAGTTGGTGGTGGTAATATACTTCAACTTGTTTGCTAGCCGCCATAAAACCTTACAAGAAGAAGAAGGATCGCATGCTAAAATTAATTAATTAACTAATTAAGTAAATCCCTAACCAAAAATCTATTCTAAGTGACAAATTAAACTAAATAATCTACGTTCTACGATTTAATTGAAAATGCAAAATTAGCTCCATGACGACGGGGGAGACCGGAGGACTGGATCAGAACCATGGCTGATGATTCTAGCAGGTTCTGTTTAGGGTTGTGGGTTTTTACGTTCTGTTCTGTGTCTGCAGGTGTTTGCGGTGCGTTCAGGCGGAGCTACGGGCGTGGTGGTTAAAGGGCCCGATGACAAAAGCAGCGTTGCCTTCAGGTACATCAAGTCTGGGGGGGAAAAACGGCTTCCCCCTAAAGAAAGGCTCAGAGCCAAACATTCAGACCATCCTGATGTTTTTTTCCAGGATGGACGATCGAGGAGAAGTGAAGTGCATCAAGTTCTCCATTGGGAACAAGATCCTGGCTGTGCAGAGGACGCTGAAGTCTGTGGTGAGTTCAGGGGGCGTTGGTTTCTAGGCGAATGTACCGACCCGGTCGGGGTTCTGTTGATCCGGTTCTTCTGTGTCTCTGCAGGATTTCATCAACTTCATCCCCGACTATCCGCACACAGAGTTCAGTCAGGAGTGTAAGGTGGGTCTCTGCGGACGAGCGGCCCGCTTCCTGAGGTTCTGCTCTCTGCTGACGCTCTCTGTTCCTCCACAGACGAAGAACGCCAGCGTCCTGGGCTTCTGCTGGACCAGCTGGAACGAGGTGGTCTTCGTCACGGACCAGGGAATCGAGTTCTACCAGGTAAGCCTCGGCCTGAATCCGGCTGGTTCCCCCGGAGCGCTTCCGTCCCGTCTGCGTCAGCGGCGTCTCCGTCTCTCCAGGTGTTTCCAGACAAGCGGAGCCTGAAGCTGCTGAAGAGTCAGAACATCAACGTGAACTGGTACCAGTACTGTCCGGAGACGGCCGTCATCCTGCTGTCCACCACGGTGCAGGGGAACGTCCTGCAGCCCTTCGCCTTCAGGGTCTGCTTACTCTCGCTCTGATGATGACGATGATGATGGTCCGTAGGTGTTCACCTTAAATCTGTCCTCCCCAGAACGGCGCCATGACCAAGATGTCCAAGTTTGAGATCGAGCTGCCGGTCGTCCCCAAACCCGCCAAGCTCAGCCTGTCTGAGAGGGACATCGCCATGGCGACCATGTAAGCGATGGGCCGGGCCCTCCGGGGCGACCGGATGAGTTCTGTTTGAAACTGAGCCCTGGTTCTGTCTCTGTTCAGCTACGGCCAGCTGTACGTCATGTACCTGAAGCATCACTCCAGGACGGTGAACAGCCCCGGAGCCGAGGTGGTTCTGTACCACCTGTCCAGGTAAACGCACGGCGGTCCCCTTTCCGTTCCTCCACTTACGGTTCTGATTCGCCTTCATTTTAAACCATGAAAATCTATTTAAAGGAACCAGATTTCTGCATGTCTGGCTTCTTCTAGCCCCGCCCCCTACAGGAAGCAGCCTGCACTCAGCTGGAGGCCATTTCCTTTATAGGAGCAGGAAGTGGGCAGGGCCTAGAGGGGTTTGTGGGAAGCTGTTTGGATATTTTTGGCCGTTATTTGTGGTTAATTGTGAGATCAGAAACACTAGAATCCATCTTGTCCCGCCGTCCTTCAAAAGCTCCAAACTGTAACGGGTCGGCCAATCACGTTGCAGTATTATGGTTAAAGGAGGGGCGTGTGCCTGTGATGAAACCTAGAGCTGTTAAACCAAAACAAAGATGGCGGGTCAGAGGGCGGAGTCCAGCTGCTGCTGTCACATCTGTTTGATAGAATCTATGGCTGAAGTGGTTTCTCATGGAGTCCGCTGCTGTTCCATTTGTTACAGTGATTGGCTGAAACCAGACTTTTAGAGGCGGGAACTAGGCTTCTCATCAGTTCTATTCACTTTATTTCTATAGCTCCAATTAACATCATCTCAGGTCACTTTAGAGAGACTCAACCGGATCATCCAGTCAGATTGATTCAAAGTTTTCCCTCTGAGGACTTTAATTAATAAAGCAGTTTATCTGATCGATGCTCAGTTAACGATCTAATTAGCTTCTCATAAAACATCATTTGTTTCCATAAAGTTTTAATACTTTCAGGTTTTATGAGCCTAACACAGGAAATATTAACCTGGAAAGAGTCTTTCTGTGTGAGCAGAACCGGGTCCGGTCCAACCTGTGGTTCTGTCGTCCTGCAGGGAGGGGATCTGTAAGAAGAGTCACGTGCTGAAGCTGAACACCACGGGGAAGTTTGCTCTGAACATCGTGGACAACCTGGTGGTGGTTCATCACCAGAGTTCTCAGGTCAGTTGGTCGCAACCCGAGACTCGGATCATAGGTAGGAAATTCAGAGACTCGTATAAAGGGGAAGCTTCAGACTGCA